TGTCTGCCGTGATCGAGCGCAGCCCGCATGGATCCAGCGCTCCTGCTAAGCCGGTGGCGGCTTGGTTCAAAGCTCAGCTGCTCATGAGATGGATGGACCACCGCCAGATCGACACTGGCCTGGAAGGATTCAATATACTCTGTCAGGCATTCTCACGCGTCCTGATGATCAGGAAATACCATGCTGTTATGGAAGAGGGGTTGGACTTTGTTAGCAAGATGGCATTATCAGGTCAACTTGGTCTGCATGGTCTTGTCCTACCACGACCTGAAGATGTGGTATCAAATGGCCTCAATTTTTTGAAGCAACAGTTTGACAAGTGCGTTCTCGGGGACCCGCAGCTTTCCTCACTTCTCGAACACAGTTCCTCGTCAATCCAGCTTGCCACCGACTCACAGGTGACTTTACCGCCGATGTTTCATGTTCCATCTCCTGCGGTTCTCCATCTCTTTGTTCGCACCCTTGGGATTGCTGAAGACTCGGATGGATTGCTAAGCCTCTTGCGGTGGATGAAACAGCACGAACTTACTTTGAAGGAGAAGTACGACCAGCTTTTAAATGGAGATCGGATGATGCGCCGTGTCATAGTAGCCTTTCGAGTGTTCTTAGAAGGATCTAGGAAGGGACGGCGCACCTCGGTTCAGCAGGAAGATGGGGATCACATCGATTCCACGAGGTTGGAACTTTCAGATTCCCATTTACAGGAGGCCTATGAAATCATTACCTCTTCGCAGGTTTGGGGTTCTTGGCCGACTGATGAAGAGTTCAAGAAGTACATAGCGCAGTGAGAACAGCTGCACGGAGGCGCATGGTGAGGACGCATCGCTGCAGGTCGGGGATTAGTATGCCAGCGCTATTCATTTCTAATGTAAATTACCCACTTTGAATATAGCTAGACTTCTGTGTGACTACTTCTAGAGACTACGTCGGACAAACAAATGAAGTACTGTACTTTCACAGAAAATGAAATAATTAGTAAAGCGCTTATTCGCGGTTCCCCGCAATTTCCGTTTGCCTATTTCCCCACACCTTCCCGTCCTTCTCCAACAACTTTCAAGTCTATCTTCAACCCTTCCATCATCCTCCCATGAAATTCTCCAGAGGTTACCATCTTGATATCTCAGTTCAGCGACAATGGCACCTCGACTCCCCCAACCTATTACTACCCTTCAAGCACTCTCACGCGCCGCTCCACTTTCAGTCCGCATCACAGTTGCCCGCTTGAGTACCAGCAGCAGCGACAATGTGATCCAAACTCAACACGTCCCGGCCCCAGGCTCCGGGACCATTCGCGTTCTTCTTCTGAACCGGCCCAAGGCCCGGAATGCCATCTCTCGCAGCCTGTTGGATGGTTTATCACAACACGTCAAATCCATCGCGGCCGAGAACGGTCAAGGGCCGACTCGAGCCTTGGTGCTCGGTAGCAACGTGGATGCCGCGTTCTGCGCCGGGGCGGATCTCAAGGAACGTGCCGGCATGACCAGAGAGGAGTTTGTCCCCCTCCCCCTTTCTTCCCCAGATATCCAAGCTTCCGGTCTGCTAACCCCCTCTTTCCATTCCACCTCATCCACAGAACGAGCCAATTCCTCAGCCACCTCCGCCAAACCTTCACCGCCCTCTCCACCCTCCCCATCCCGACCATCTCCGCCGTCTCCTCCACCGCCCTGGGCGGCGGCCTCGAGCTGGCCCTGTGCTCGCATTTCCGGGTCTTCGGCTCCTCGTGCATGGTTGGTCTCCCGGAGACGCGCTTGGCCATCATCCCCGGCGCGGGCGGCACCTACCGCCTCCCGCAGCTGATCGGGGTGCACCGCGCGCGCGACATGATCCTGACGGGCCGGCGGGTGTCCGGGCCCGAGGCATACTTCCTGGGGCTGTGCGATCGGCTGGTGGAGATCCTGCCGGAGGAGGAGAAGCAGGAAGGCGTCGCGCGGGAGAAGGTGCTGCGCGAGGGGATCAACCTCGCGCTGGGGATTTGCGAGGGCGGGCCCGTGGCAATCCGCCAGGCGATGAAGGCGCTGGATGGGTGGGAGCAGGGCGAGGCGGCGGAGAACGAGGCGTATGAGGGGGTGATGGGCACGGAGGATCGGATGGAGGCGCTGCGGGCGTTTGCGGAGCGGAGGAAGCCGGTTTTCAGGGGGAGGTGAGGTGGGTTAGTATTTCTCACTTTGTGAAAGTGTTATACACTTTTTGTGATGCTGAGGGGGTTACTGCTGAAAGAGGAGGAAATTAGTGTTGGGCGCGTGATGAGATATCAAGATCACTACCATCACGTTTGAGGTAAAAATGCTAAGTGTGTTAAGTTGTAATTCATCTAAGGACTCTCTAATACTAACGCATGGGTTGCTTATTCTTCTATACTGGTTGGTTCTGCGTCTTCCGCCGTCTCAACACCCCATGAGTTTACTTTGCTACTTTCCCTCTTTTTTGTATTTGTAGTTTGAACTGCTGCTAGAGGTCATTGAATAAATACTAATATCTGGGTCAGATTACTTATCAGAGATGAATCATAAAAGCCCCCTACACCAATATCTTGTACATTGTGTATCAATATAGATCTAGTCACTTCTATAGCCGGGTTTATTGACATCTACGTATACAAATTCACACGCTTTGTATAATTCACCCTCCGTCCTGCCTACCTGCCTTGGCGTCGGCTCTCGGCTACCTTGACAGTCTCTCCTCTCTCTCTCTCTCTCTCTCTCTCTCTCTCTCTGCTTATAGTTGAACTAATGGATTCTATCATCACATATTTATCACCGCCAGCACCGACGGTAAGGTTTAAGGTCGATTAGTACCATATTTATAGTAGTATGGTTGAATCGCGCGTCTTCATTGCCCTACCATCATACATGAACAAGGCAATGCAGATTGGGATTTACTTGAGTTGGTGATATTCTCAGTTCAATTCTGACTCACGGCCTTTCAAAGTAGTGCAATACAGGACTCGAACTTCTAAGTCGGATTTCTTCTTCCTGCGCTGCTGCGCCTTCGGGGCGTTTGATCTGCCCCGGGGAGGGAAGGAGGGAGACTGCGTGCCCGCCTCGGGTTGGCGACGGTCAGCTGGGGGTGCCCCTCGGAGCTGGATGACGGGGGGTGTCTCAGTGGCAAGTGAGTACATCTACTGGCGCTAAGGTATGAGGGGGTTTATTCTCCATCAGTCGAGTTTTGAGCTGACAGAGAACATGAGCAGGTAGAGTGAGCAAGCGGACAAGCACCTGGGGTGGGGGAGGTGCGGGGCATCGACGGACTGACCCTCAGTATAACTTGGGGTCGATCATTCAGGATTCCTGGTTGGCATGAGGCACGCTCATTTTATCTTGGGTGTGTATGATCTTCCTTTCAGAGTTAAAGCTTACCTATGTAGACGGGCGTGGGATTGTTTGAGCTTACAGTCTGGTTAATCTGCGTGAGATTCCGCTTGTATGTGATAACTGATAGTTTGGGTAAATGATTACCCTTTTTAAAAGTAAGTCATAGCTAGGGCAAGCCAGACTTAAACATTGTGTAATCAACAAAATTAGCAAACTCATTAGATTATGGTCATTTTCGACTCTACATATGATGAATGACCCGTTAGTAGATTGATCTCAATGTAGTAGACCTACAAACTGTCCCATTCTTAACCCTCCACATACTCTCTCGCTGCTGTGTGTAGAGGGGACTGCCTCGCGGTCAATAATCATACGTGGCCTTGCACTAATCAAAGACCTTCTGGTCGGAGAAATAAGTACTCGTAAAAAAGGGTCTTTGAGTTAGTGCTTACGGCTGGCAGCTGGGCTTACAGGGCGCCAGAACATCCTTCCGGAAGTTAACTGCGCACGCAGAACTGCCCCTTGTTTTGAATACGAATGAATGCGAAGGGTTTCCGACTGATCGGTGAATACGCTACATCCTGAGATTGCGATACGGTGGGAAGGAGACAGCCAGGTGTTGTGTTTGACTGGTCTTCAATAGTGCTTGATATGTAGTCAAGCATTTCAAATGATGCTTGGGTGAAGTGGGGGTGGGTGGCAGTTGGTGGCTACTGCAGAGTACGCTGTAAGTCACTGCCTGTCCAAGGCTACTAACTACTACGACTTTGAGTCAACCACCAAGAAAATCTGCCTGGAAAACAAGACCACTACAAATCATCCACAGCAATCAGCAAGCAACTTAACCTTCCCGATCGGACGGATGCCAAAACCTTGAAAGAGTTCCCGTGGTTTTCCTCAGGGGGAGTGACCAGTGGGAGGTCATGCTGCCTGCCTCGCTGACTGCAGATCCGTGACACGAGCCTCGGGGCTGAGTCTTGCAGCTTTACTTGCGAAGAGTCCGACAAGGCTGAACAGTCACCATTACCTACAAAGTGATTTCCTGCCTGCCTTAGTACTAGTATAGTACTAGTACTAGTTTTGACCCTGTTTTATCATACATGGAATGACCTATCATCACTTCTCTCTCAAGGATCGTGGTCTCTTTCCGTAGGGAGTCCCCGTTTCACCCATCCATCGTTCTGTACTGTAACTACTACTTATAACATATCAACAACTATTGAAGACCAGTCAAGCGCCGTGTGTATTGAGTTGACCTGTTTAAGATTGTCTCAACCTCAGCAAGATTAGCACAGCAAGATTAGGAAGTTTGATTGCCCTGGAGACTTGTAGGGGTCTTGTTCTGCAGTAGGCACCATCTGCCACCCCGGGGGCCGGGCAAGTCATCCGCCTTTCTTTCTCATGCTCCTTCCTCCCCAACGCATAAATAACTTATTGTTCCCCACACACACACACACACACACACACTCTCTCTCTCTCTCTCTCTCTCTCTCTCTCTCTCTCTTCTTCTTCTTCTCTTCTTCTTCTTCTTCTTCTTCGTCCTCCACTACCATATACGCTCGCTCAAATACTGAACCTTCGTATCAGGCATCCTACCTTCGCTTTCTTCCCCCTACAGGCAATCGAGATATCGTCAAACGTCCAAGGAATCTTGACGTTTCGACTGTCTCACCCTAAACACCCTAACCCATGGCCGCCCTTCCCGCTCGGGTGAAGGAGATCGGTCTCAGCGAGGTTCACCGTTCTGAGGAACCGCCCCTCGTTGATATTGTCTTCGTGCACGGCCTCAACGGCCATGCTTACAACACCTGGGCTTCCAAGAACAATGGCATCTTTTGGCCCGCCGATCTCCTTCCTGAAGTCCTCGGTCCTAGTCGCGTTCGCATCCTAACGTACGGATACAACGCCAACGTCACGGCTTTCACCGACGGCGCCTCGAAAGACCGTCTTCATAATCATGCAGAAACGTTGGCCTCGGGCTTGGCCGCGAACCGAAATGTGAGTGATATCACCCCTTCTCATTCCCTCCTTCGTCTGACTCGCACGGAAGTCGTCACGAAAGTCGTATCTTGTCCCAAGGTATACATATTGACCTCGTTCAGCTGCGGAATTGTTCGGAAAGACCGATAATTTTCGTTTGCCACTCGCTGGGCGGCCTGGTCGTCAAGCGCACCCTGATATACTGCCGGAGCGTGAACAACGAGAAGATCCAGCATCTCAGATCCGTATACGTTTCCACGTACGGCATCCTGTTTCTCGGAACACCCCACAATGGGTCCGACGTCGCAAAGTGGGGCGCGCTTTTGCAGAACATCTGTAGTGCTGTAATGCCGAAGAAGTTCATGGAATCTTCGCCTCACTTGGTTAAGGCCCTTAAGACAAACAACGAGACTCTTCAGAACATCAACAGCCTCTTCGCTGATATCACTAGCCGCTTCCACATCTACTTCTTTCATGAAACCTTGTCCAGTGACGTCAAGGGCACTCGCGAGCTGATCGTCGACGAGAGCTCTGCAGCGCCTTACATGGAAGGTGTCGAACGGATGGGAATCGAAGCTGATCATAGCCATATGTGCAAGTTTGACGATGAGGGCTCTCCTGGATATGAAGCTGTGGCAGAGGCTCTCTTGCGATATTCGCGTGACGCCCCAGCGACCATACATGAACGCTGGATCGAAGAGGGAAAAGCGCGCCGGCTCATGAAAGAGACCATAGCCCGGGAGATGTTTGGAAATGGTATGTGATCTCAGTCAATTGCCTTCGCGTAATTCTTTCACTTCGTTCTTACCCAAGCGGCCGCCAAGAGCTGACGATGTACGATAGTTGACGCGGAGCAACTGGGAAGAAGCGCCCCGGACCTTCGCACAATTGGTAGGCCACACATGCTTCCTGGTCCCCATTCTCCAATCACCTGGAATCAGTACGAGGTCGAAGAGCCCCCGGAACCTTCTTTCCCTTATAGTAAGCATTTCTAGGCGGTGCATCGTGCTGAAGGAATTCGTGGAGGGGCGGTAATTGTCTTCTTCGTCGTCTCAATACTTTCGTCTGTTTCTCTGCTCCATGTATCCTAGTTGCTTCATTTTTGCCATGGACACATTGTCAGTCGATAATGCTGACTATGTCTCAGGTAACTCTGAATTAATGGTACTCCCTTCTGAGAGAAGACGCTCGGTTGTATCAGAAATGGCGATGGCAGAGAGCACCGAACTTGCTATGTCACGATCCCTACGGGCAGATCCGCTGTTTGTGGTCCCACCCGGGTTCCATCCAAATGCAACATTTGTAGGCATGAAGAAAGAGCTTGAAGTGTTGCATGCGCGTTTGTTCAAAGCCAAGAAGAGAGCGGAGCGTCTAATGGCTGTCTTGATTTGTGGAGGACCCGGGACTGGCAAGTCACACCTTGCACGACAATACGTGTGCACCCATCGAGATATCTACCCAGCGGGGATTTTCTGGGTCGATGCTAAGTCACTGGAATCAACCTACAAGTGTTTCTGGGATATGGCTCAAGCGGCTGCACTGACGGATGGGCAGGATTTCCGGTACCCCGACACCAACCCATCTCGCAAGTATGTAGACTCGGTGAGGACATGGCTGCAAAACCGGGAAGGGTGGCTCATTGTGTTCGACGGAATCAGCTTTGCGCACGAGCATGATATCAACAACTTCAAGCAGTTCCTCCCGTTCAATAAGAACTGCAGTATTATCTACACCTCAGTGGATAAAACCTTGAAGAGGAAACAACGTTTGTACGAGCCATATTGCCTTCAGGTGAAGCCACTCGAGCCGGAGAACGCATGCAAGCTGCTTTTTGAAGACCTCGGTATCAGAAAACCAACTGCAGGTCAGATCAGGAAAGCCACAGAACTGGTAACTCACTATGAGTGCCTGCCACTCGCTATACATGCAATTGGCCACAGGCTTAGCGCCACGTCAAAGCCAATTGAGCGATATCACATCAATTCACATTTGACAGACGAAAAGCTGGCAGAACCGTTTCTAAGCATCATGCACGACCTAATGTGTCTGGGGCACTGGACGGCACTCAACCTGATTAACATGCTTTCGTTCTTTAGTCACCATATCCCGGTTGGTCTCTTGACCTTGGGTCTCTCAGCACGTATAAAGCAGAGGGCTGGAGTCATCACCCAGAGCAGAAGCGGAGAAACGGGGGATCTTGACACGACGATCGGAATCTTGATCCGGTATGGCCTCATTGAACGAGTATCTGACTCGTACCCGCTGCACCCCAAAGCTCTGTCGCCCCAGGCAGAGAGAGACAATGTGCTGGAACAAAAGTCTGTGGTACCGGACCTCTCTGAGTCGCAAACAGAAAGCAGTCAGGAAGCCTTCTTTTCTTCAGTTTTGCAGAATGCAGGAACGATTGACGTCTTGAAGATCCATAGTGTCGTTCAGGGGTTCTGCCGTGATGAGTTGAAGATGATGGATGAAGAAGAGCGGAGGAAAGCCGCCGCCACAAACCCAAACGCTCCGGAGACTGGATTGTATGATTCATGGCTTGTCGTGGTATGCGACGTACTCAGCACCTCGTACACGAAAGTCCAAACAAGAAACGAAACTGACGGCTACGGACTTGTCAAAGATTACCGCGAGTTCGAGACTCATGTGTCGAAGGTGCTCGAGCACTTCCCCAGACGATCTGCCCGGGAGGCAGCTGCGGTCCGTCAGGCGCGGGAAGACATGAAGATATTGAAGAGGAGTATTTCCAGGGAGATAGATCGGATTTCACCAAGGTCTGGTTCGATCTATAACCAACGCTCGGTCTTTGATCGATCAAGTAGCTCGTCTTCATCGGTGCCTGAGTCCGCCGCTGAGGAATTGCCTGGTTGGCTTGAACCAGCATCGCCCCAGGTGGAGTCTCCGCAGGAGGCCGCTCCGCGCCCGCAAAAATTCAATCTGAAGCCTTTCCTCCCACACATATTTCGTCATTCCAGCCAGGATCAGGCGGGCAGCGCTCCTCCAATCTCGCAAACGGGTGAAGCAAGCGAGAGGCCTGAGTCCAATTCATCCGAAGTGGTATCTAGTACGAATACGTCGGATGACCGAGGCTGGCATCTTGTCAAGAAATCTTCGAAGCCCCCAAAGCCTGCTGCTAACAAGCCTAAACGGCCTAGTTTACCGCATCGCATTCGTGGCTCTCAGCCTGCGGCCCCTGTTCTCAAGGTCTTCCCCGTAGAGGGCATATCGGGCAAGCCTGGAGACCAAGACCGTAGCAGCTCTCGGACCTCGGCGTCGGAGGCGTTGACGGCGGTCACAAAAATCGCGCGCCCCCAGATGAACGGCAGGCAATTTGCAAGTGCTCCAGGCGATTTCACGAAGAGCTTGTCGAAGGAAAATGATTCGCCCAGCTACGCCACGATTGCAGCCAGACAGGCGCAACATATCACTGAAAAGCCACGGTCATCCTCGATTCCTAGTAGAAGCCGGCCAAGGTTGCAGGGTCTGCAGGATAAATCCTCTGAAGAATCACTTTTCAATCGTTCGAGCAACGTTATGTCTTCGAAGCTTCCAATGACCTGTTCGGCATATAGTGAGCCTGATCCGGCGTATTTAAGCCATCAGCTAAATGCTCTAGAACTCGGGGCAACGGCCAGTCGATACAGAGCGCCCATGGGCACGTCTTTCAGTGGTGTAGGGTCTCCAACGGGCGATATGTCAGCAAGCACACCTTCTATGACATATCTCGCGCCGGGCCTGCCATATGAGGGCAACATCGATATATCAGCAGCACGTCGACTGAGCACCACACCATCGACATCAACAGGCCCAGTTTCCCATCCGTCTGCGATCATGCCCGGAACATCGCCACCATTTTCAGATGTGCACGCTGGATACATGTCCGAGCCGGCCCCCGAGCCGATGTCTCGTGATATATCCGCGAAGTCACAACAGTCCTGGGCCACCGACCCAGTTCCTTATCCCCATCGATGGGCCCCGGTTAACATCATTCCACCGATCCCGAAGTTGGCACCACCGCCAAGGCCAAGTAATTTTCAGGCAGAGCTTTCGTACGCAGCGGCAGCGGCACATCTCCGGACTTTGGAGCCTCTAGAGGGTCCCGTCCCCTTCGAGCCTGTATGGCCGCATATGAATGTTGACAGCAGACCACAGTTTGGTGGGCCAGTTCAGTATGCAGCAGCAGCAGGGCAACTCTTGCCTGGGTACCCTGCAACTTACCACCCAAACCTCTCCGGACCTCTACTCTCACACGAGATCACCATACCGATGGCGGAGCCGCGCGGCGGGCGAGCCCGGAGTGGGAGTTCTCCTCCACGACAAGAATAACCCATAAACGAAAACAAGATTGAATAAGCAACAACGAAAAGTACTCTCAGGTTATTTGGCGTCAGGTTTGTCGGAGTTATATTGCGTGAAAACAGCATAGCAGGGGGGGGGAGTGGAGGGATCGGTGTTGACATGTATCAACCCCGCATGTGGACGGAGTCACGCGTCTGTGGATATTTGGCTTGTTGATTCATTTTCATCATTTTCCGGGCAGAGATGACCAGTTTTGTTTGAGAATGTATCATCAATAGAGCGATGCCACATTGAGCAAATAATAAGATGCAGATAACGTGATGCAAATACACACGATTTCACAGTTTCATCGGCTTCAGAGATGATTTGGATGAGGGGAAGGAAGGATGAAAGAAGGCGCAAAGGGAGAAAGGTGCGGGGAAACGGGAACATCTCAGCTACACCGCCTTCTGGATCCGAAATGCAGGAGGCAGAAAGTAAGAGTACTTTGTGCACATAAATTACTTTATGTACAGTGCTGAGACGTACAATACCAGCTCTGTAGCCAGTGAGGAAGCATGTACTGACTATGACTATCTTGAGCATGCAATTTATCAGGCTACATCAGAGATAGAGCCAAGCTCTAGCACTTAGGGCTAATCTAAGTAGACTTTCTTCATAAGTTGTTCTCTAACAAAATAATCGGACGTACTCATACTTAAAGCAAAAGCAAATTCTGCCGGGACCAGACCGGGCGGTGGGATTTGCGGGGGACCCACTGCGGAAATGGGCTAAGCCCAAAACGAGAGGGAGTACGAGAGGTGGCGGGCGGGCATCGACGTAAGAGCGACATAAGAGAAGAGAAGCCGAGCCAAGCTGCCCAGTGATGCTGCCAACCATCCATCCCGATGACGTCGTTCAACTGCCATGCCTCAAGTTTATAAGACTCTGGTCGCCAGCATGCCTCCAGTTCACTGACAACTACTCCGAACATTCACATCTGATCATCAGCCTCAAAAAACACCCTCAATTGGTACAATTACTACCATCACTACCACGACTACTACTACTCTATACATACATCTCAACATACACCTCATACAATATTCCACCATGTCTTTCATCGCTCGCATCGCCCCTGTCGCTCGCACCGCCTCCGCGGCTCTCAAGCCCACTGCCCCTTCCATCTCCATCGGCGCCACTCGCGCTCTCTCCTCCAGCGCCTGCCTGAACAAGGGTCCCGTTGAATCCGCCAAGGACACTCTCAAGGCCGCCGACCGCACTGTTTCCGATGCTGCGGTGAAGGGTATTGAGGTCGGAGGTACGTTATTTCAATCCTTTTCCTTTCTTCTCCCTATCCGAAGGGATTATGCTAACCCGATTGCACCCGCCAACAGAGACCGCCGCCGAGAAGCTTAAGGGTACCGTGGGCGCTGCCTCGGGCCAGGCTCAGGCCAAGACCGGCGAACTGCAGGGTGATGCGGCCGAGTTGGCCGGCAAGGGCAAGGGTAAGGCCGAGGAGGCTTTGGGTCAGGCCAAAGGTGCTGCTGGCCAGGCTAAGGGAAAGACGGACGAGCTCCTGGGTGAAGCCAAGGGCAAGGCTAAGGAAACTGCTGGTCGGTTCTAGATGAGCATCATCTTTTGATTTTATTGCGCGTGGTTTTTTTACTTGTTCCTTGACAACCACCTTCACTGGATGATGTGATGAAGATACGCTAACTATCATGGGCCTTGTGATTGTATTATTATTATTCTAATGAAACAAAGGAAAGATTTCTTCATAATTTTTGTGACTTTGATAGAGTATGATAGGTTAAGTGATTGAGGGTGGTTAGTGGCTCGGCGATGATGTAAGGCCGCATGGCTTTATCGCCTATCGCCAGAAGGATCGGATCCAACATTCTAAATAAGGAGTTTCCGGGGTCTCGCAGAACTGTAATTCCTGTGCCATGTGAGCCGGTTTTGAGTATACGTTTTACAACATATAGGTTATAACAATTACGCAATCAGAAGGCTTTCAAGTCGTCGGTTCTGATGACGCCAACAAAATATTTACTTGTATCTGGTTCAGGGGCCAGATGTGTTGTGCATAAACCGTGATCCATGATTTGTTATCCAACTGCCCCTCCGATCATGAACCGAGGCATGGTTTTTTGCCTCTGTTCCCCTTATCGCCCCTTCCCCACTCGGCTGTTGTTGCTTCCTGCTACATACCTCTCTTTTCTTTTCTTCTACTTTTTTTTTCTCTCCTTCTCGATGTTTCCCTGTTGTGGCGGTTTCCCCTCCTTATCCTGTCCTCTTCACCTTCCAATCATTGCTACATCGTCTTTCCTAGTCTGAAACAACACAATGAGGAATTTCGATAACCCTCTCAGTGTGCTCAAGGCCATCCTTGTGCGCATCCCCCTCGTACTCAAAGTCATCTTCCTCCATGCCATTCGCCTCTCCCCAGTCAAGGACAAGCAGGATCTACGCACCGAACTGACCGTCGCCATCATCCGCTCGCTCCTCAGCTTCAGCGCCTCCATTTCTGAGCAGCAGAAGGCTAGCATGCGCGACCCGGGCATCAAGGGTCCCATGTGGGTGTCCAAGGTGACGTTTCCGCAGCCGGAGATCGACGTCCAGGATGCAGTCGTGAAAGCCATTGAGGCTCTCAGAACGGGCGATGAGACCTACGATTTGCCTGGAGTGGCACCGGTCGAGGCAGAATGGACGGGCTATCGCAGTGGCGTAAACAAGAACGCCCCGCAGCCCGACATCTCTGAGGAGGCCAAGTATGAGGAGTTGAAGAAGGAATCGAAGGAAGACATGGTCATTCTCTACTTCCATGGGGGGATTTACTTGTGAGTTCTCCCTGTCTTTTTTTCCTCTCCATGACCACTGAAGGATCAATCGTATCATTTTGCACGAAACTCACCGCTCAATTCCAGCCTTATGGATCCCTGCACGCACCGTCCCACCGTTGCGCAACTCTCCAAACGCACTGGGGCCCCCGTCCTCTCCGTGCGCTACCGTCTCGCCCCCCAGCACCCCTTCCCTGCCGCCCTGACCGACGCCCTCGTCGCCTACCTCTCCCTCATCTCCCCACCCCCGGGCTCCCTCCATGACCCCATCCCTGCCAACAAGATCATCCTGGCCGGCGACTCCGCGGGGGGCAATCTCTCCCTCGTCCTCACTCAACTCCTGCTGACTCTCCGCCGCGTTCAACCCACCATCCGCTTCCACGGCCGCGACATCCCTATCGCCCTCCCCGCAGGCGTCGCCACCTCCTCCCCCTGGTGTGACATGACCCGGTCGATGCCCTCGGTGGCCCATAATGCGATCTATGACTACCTGGATGCGCCGACATCTACGCCCGCCACAGACCCGTTCTTCCGGCCCCTGGTAGTCCCCGCCGACGACATCTGGCCCGTGAAGCCTCCGCGCGTGGACCTGTACGTACACGCCTCCTCCCTCCTGCACCCGCTCGTCTCTCCGATCGCCGGCGACGCGGAGCTCTGGGCCGATGCCCCGCCTGTGCTTCTCTCCATCGGCGAGGAAGGCCTCACGGACGAGGCGCTCGTGCTTGCCCGCAAGATACACCGCGCCGGCGCCCCCATCCTCGTTGAGCAGTTCGAGGGCATGCCGCACTGTTTCGGCGTGGTGATGCTGGATGCGCCCTCGGGTCGGCGGTTCTACGATGGCATGGCGCGGTTCTGTCGCGATGCGGTGTTCCACGAGGGGAAGGCAGTGAAGGCGAAGAGCGGCGAGGTTACATTCATCGGGTATAAGTTGCTCTCCGAGAAGGCGATCCCTGTGGAGAAGGCAGTCACGCTCTCGGACGAGGAGGTCGAGGAGCGGTTGCGCGTGAATGCGCAGTGGCGGTTGGACGGCGAGAGGGAGTTGCAGAGGGAGTGGGCGGACAAGGCCAAGTTGTGATTTTTCCTTTCCCGCCCGGACACACCATCCATACACACAACAACCTTGATTCCCCCCCTTACCTCTTTCTCCATTCTCCATACCCCCCACCCCTCTAAGGTGTTCTTATCAATTCTGCCCAATTGATCTCGTGGATGATGTGACAGTTAAGGATTGACCTCTTCCGCTTGGCGTGCTACTTGATTTGTTAATGTTGTTCATGGTTCAATACCCTGTTAGAATATTTGCGCTTATCATAATGAACACGATTGAATGTATTCCGCTCAGATGAAATAGTTGCTCTATGCACGAAGGATCTTAGTGTGTACGTACTACCAGGCACTAGTATCTAGTCTCCGACTAATTTAGTACGTACTACCAGAAAGGGGAAAGTAGACACGGGTTCGCGCAGATCCACGATAACCTTAGATAAGAGCCCGTGGATATTGTAGTCTACTGCACCGGCATGGCATGCGCCTCCCTCGGGATTCAATCCTACACATACTCATGTAAATAAAAAGCGGCCGCCGGATTAAACCCTGACCAGCTCAACTATGCTACAAAGCGACACGGAGAAGAGAGTTCAGGCCGAAATGATTCTCAAGTATGTAGTAGCGATCTTCAAGAAAAATAAAGGCTAATAAACTGGTAGAGCTTCCTTCCTCCCTTCCAATACTAAATCATGAGTCATATTCCGGCCCCCAAAACACCATGTACTGGGAAGTAATGTGTCGAATAATGGATGTCCTAAAGAAGCTATATGACCTAGGGGTGACCTGCGACCTGCTTGGAAATAAACTAAATAATCTCGTCATCATCCATAGACCCGTCGTCGTCCCAGGAACCAGATCCAGCATGGCCTCCTCCATGACTCTGGCTGGGGTTGCGCCCACCCCCATTCAAGTCTAATTCCGGAACGGCTTCGGGAACCACCGGTCGCTCGTCGTCCCTTCCGGACCACAACTTCGACGGCGAGAAGAAGCCGCCACCACCACGGCTTGCTGCTGCTGTGGATTGGGCGAGACTTACAACGCGGGTTCCGTGGATGCGGATCTCGCCCGACAGGTTCAGCGGCCGGGGGGGCTCCGCAACGAAACCGTCCCAGAGGCCGAGGGAGAGGGCGACGAATCGGACTGTGGCAATAAGAATGGCCCAGACCGGTGCGAGTATAGACGAGAGATTCAGCCAGCGCCAAAGCATTGTCGGAATCACATAGGGGAATTGAGGTGCATCAGGCCGGAGACAGTTGCCCTCGCAGACGTTCGCGATGATGGGGTGGCAGTAGTAGTCGCACATGGTGGTTTCGGAGTATAACCAGGCCAAGAATATGAGGAGGCACCATCCGAGGCCGGTGGGACGGACGCGTCGGGAGATGGGATCGCGTTTCCAGAGCCGAGGAAAGGAGATGATGGTGTAAACCCGACCTTCAGTCTCCGCCTGGCACTTCGCGCAGATGGTTGCTCGTGAAGATTGTGAACCCTTGGATGAGGGTGCGGTCAAAACGCTGGCGTCGCGCGAGGCTTGTTCCTCAAGGCTCTTCAATCCCGATTTCACCTTTTGTATGTTCTCCGCCAGCGACTTCAGCTTCTCGTTCAGGCGATCTAGATCCACGGTCTCGTTATCTCCGGAGCCTGCAAGCTCAAGTTTCCTCAAAATAGCCTTCTCGTACGCAGCATCCTCCTCTTCCGCAGTAGCATTTTCACTCGGCTTTCCCTCAAGAAGTCCTTGAAGGGACTCGATCGTATCGTCACCCACGTCGAGTATCTCCTTGTGAGCTTTAAAGTCCTGCAATACCGTCTCAAGTGCGCTCTTAGGCAGGTCTGGCTTGACCAACGGTTTTTTGTTCTTCGGCTTGGCCTTCTGACTTGCCTCCGGTTGCTCTCCTTGTTTGTTTCCCTTCTTCGGTTCTTCTTTTTGGCCTTCTTTACTTACCTTTCCGATACCTTTTTCTGTCTTGTCTTCCTTTGGTTTGTTCTCTACCATAGGTTCTTTCTTGACAAAAGCAGGCTCTTGTCGCTTTTGTTCTCTGTCTTCATTGTCTGTCTTAATTAGAGCCTCCGACTCAGATGGCTCTGACACCTCGCTAATTCTGGATTCTCGAGGCAGGAAAGATGACGCGTATCGGTGATTCTGCGGTGGCGACGGCACGATGTCCCGCGACAGTTCTTCGGGAAAATTGTCAACTCGCTCAGTCATCGGAGTATCAATCCAAGCACCAGTAACGACTGGCGTCTTGTCGTAGATCCGTGGCCTTTGTTGAACTTTCTGAGCTTCCGGGGTTTTGAACTCATCGGTATTTCGTTGCCCGGGGCTCTCAGTCCGTGACAGTTTCCGGAGTAGATCCTGTGAGTCCCTCTTGGTTGGGCTTCGTTTGGTGAAGGTCGAGCTCGGATATAGAGTGATCGGTGTGTTGGGGATCCGTTCGCCCTCGGTCACTTTCTCGGCTCTCTGTTCCGAAGACAACTTGTTCTGCGCGTCAGACAGAGGGACCCTGTCGTATCGTCCCGTAGAGCGTTCTTCGACTATGGTCCCTCGTTCCAAATTACTTTGTGTGCCCCGATCCGCCCCCACCCTCGAAGGTGAGGGGTCTTTCGACCTGTTCGCCGTGGAACCCAACGGAAGGTTGTCGCGTCGCGTCATAGTTCTCAGCCAGTCACTTCGATACTTCGCCTTGGATCCCCAGCCCGGAGGTGGATGGAGCGGGGGCCTGGGCTCGTTATCATCGGCTTCCACATCCATTGCCCCTCCCTGAAATTCTCCCTCTTCGTCGCGTCGCTGAAGGTTTTCCGAAGTCAAGGCAGCTCGAGTCCCTGCATTGCTGAGAACAGGTGACCGACTGGATGTAGCCCTTTTCAAGCGCCGCTCGTCCTCGACACGGTCCACCTGTTTCCGGCGGGAAGATTCGTCCGGTACGTCGTTCAAGAAGTCCGGGCTATAGGAGGTGAACCAGTCATTTCTCTTCCTCGCCGACGCCGACGACGACCCGCGACTACGGTTGCCGCGGAGGCTAGCCAGCTGAAAGTCTGCATCCAATGGGTCCTCGTCAATGAGGCTACCCGCATCGTCAATTTGGCGGTACGTTTCCGCGAGCTCGTTCGGAGGGTTCGATACCGGAGATGACAGGAGGAAGGGATCTCGATTTCGTCCATACGAGCCGTACCCAGCGGATGCGTCGACAGCTGCAGCTTCTCGGTCCGGCATACTGTCAAGACGTGAGGCGTACGCGAACGCACCTCGTAAGGAATTGGTTTGGCTGAAGTTCCGGCGACGACGGGGCGAGTTGGATTCGTAGGGAGGGCTGAGGTCCAGAGACGCGTCGAAATGGTCTGCAAGATGAGCCTGGCGAGCTCTTCCAAAGGGGGAGGGATGCTCGTCGGTGGGTTGATTGTGGCGGTTGCTGCGACGCGACAGCGAGGGCCGGTCGCTCCTGCGTTCGGGGGTGGAAGGCATCGTGACAAAACAGACAAAACACAATCAAGCAGATGCCCTCGGGGGCGGGCAGTGGAATTTCGGACAGTGCGCTCCGATCCGACTAACACACGACGTGAAGCGGACGGAATGCTGCAGTGAATGAATGTATGGAGCGAATGCAATTAATTGATTGGCAACTCGACGAGACTCGCGCCCAGGAGTTCGTTGCGGTCGCGCCCCCGATCGGGCTTAGTGGGCTATGGGCGTCATCTCCGTTTCTCCCCTCCTCCTCCTCCTCCTACTCCTCCTCCTCCTCTCCCCGTCTCCCCGATTCAGTCATTTGATCATTCATAAATCACTAATCTCCCTAACAAGCCAGTCAATTTAGCTACGTCGGTTCACGGCTACTGATCAGGTACGGATGAGCCCATCACACTCCATGATCTTCCCCCCTCCTCCCTCGAGACAAGTGACTCCGAGAGCGTTTGAACTAACCACATGTGACCCGGTCAGGCGAATCGACATGCTCTGTTGTTAGCTTCCTACTTTTATCCTTTGCGCCTCCTCCCCCCACGCTATCAGCCACTTGGAAAACTATAAAACAAGACCGGGAAATCCGCATGCGCCGGGCTCAAGAGTCCTAAACTCCCCTCCGAAGCCTCGTATCCCTCCACCTCCAGCAAAAGCACGAGCATTCCAAAAACAACATGGCCAAATCCGCCCGACGAGGCCCCAAGGCCAAGGGCTCTACGACAACATCCTCCTCCTCGGGGTCCGGCACATCGACACCAGCCTCTCAATCCGCGGCGATGCCTCTGCCTCCGTTCACCAAAGCCCCGTCCACCCTCCTGCCCCTCCTCTCCCCGCTCTCTCCGCGCGAGATCTACCTCATCCACATCGACACCACGCCGATCAGCCAGAAGAAGCAGGCCTTCGTCGTGCCCGTGCTTATGAACCTCGCCATCGTCGGCCTGCTCGCCTATCGGGTCTACTCCGTGCGCCACATCTACCCGGCGATGTTCGCCTCGCTGGTCGGCCTGACCACTGCCCTCTCCGTCGACACCGCCACCCTCAGCTGGGGCGATCTCTCCGGCCTCCTGCTGGGCCGGTTCTTCACCGTCCTGCTCGACTACTTCCTCGTCACCGTGCTCCTGCCCTGGCCGATCCGGTTCGTCTTCGGCCCCGTCCAGTGGCGCCGCCGCGTCGGGTTCCGCGACCGGGAGATTATCGTCCGCCGGAGCCAGTCCGGGCTGACCCAGGACCTGAAGCGCGACCGCTGGATCCGCGAGGACGAGGAGACGCGCGACCGGATCGTCACGGCCGTGACGCCGGAGAAGGTCCGGAAGACGGGCTACCTGCTCGTGGACAAGGACTGGGATCTGGACTATGAGGCGATGATTGTGGCGCATGAGATGGTCGACGGAGGTCATGGCTCCCCGGACAACAAAGAACAGGCCGTCAAGCTGGAAGAGTTCCGGACGGCGGTGGTGGTGAACACGGACGCTCACGGGTGGTTGGTCTGGCGGGTCGATGTTGAGAATCAGAGCTCCGTTCCGGATGCAGATTCTTCTGCCTCGTCGTCGTCGTCGAAGAAGGATCAGAAAGGCAAAGGGAAGCAAGAGACCAGCGATGACGCGGTCCGATCTGCCCAGCGCGATCAGATCATCGAGTTCCAGCAGAAGTTGACCGCCATGGGCAAGGAGGACCTGTTCTACCGGTGGGTCGAGCTGATTCAGTACGAGAGCACTCAACCCGGTGGGTTCACGCCCGAAAGGCAGGTGTCGGCCATGAAGCAGGTCAAGCAGCTTTTCGAGGAGAATGATGTGGATTTCGACAAGTTTTGGGAGGACGTGGGTGGGATGGAGGAGTTCACGGAACAGCTAGATTAGTTATCCTACCCCATTTTTGTCCTTTTCTCGTGCGCTTGGGGCTTTACCATAATTATTCGTTCTTGTTGTATTATAGACTGGGTTTTTCGAATGTTGCAGGAGAGAAAACATCTTTGTTTACGGAAAGGCTCGAGGCATCGGGAGCATCGGTGGTGCATGGCGAGGCGTGGCAATCGGGCTTACAGGGCATTTCTCGCTCCCAATCTATTTCATTTAAATCAAACATGTTTGTGCAAATGTTTTTAAATCAAAGTCCATAGCAACGTGCCTGTGTCTAGTTTGCGCCGGCTAATTAAGACAGATAAAGCAAAGAATCGAAAGCAAGCAAGATATCAAACATGTGAGCCATTTCCATTTCATAGGGTATCATATCAGGCCTGGATCTGCCATCCCATGCGTATGTTCCATGTTTCCGAAATCACCACCCTCCAATGACTCAGCCTGCTGTTTCTGAGCTGGGACTTTTAGGCTGCATCAGCTCACTGGCGACCATGGCTCTCTACACGGTAGTTGACAGACCACAACTTCTCCCAGGGACGATAACGTGAGGTTCGCCGACTAGCCGGCGTATGAATGGACGAGACGTCGACATCCTCCAGCCGCACCGACGAAGAGGAACTTCTAGCGCCAGGGATGAACGGCGGCTGTGGACGGAATGAAGTATCGGGGATCTGGCCCGCACCCTGTTGCATCTCGTCAGCTCCCAACCAACCAACCCACCGCAGACAATTTACTATCTCCTGCTCTGCGGATCCTGGAGTGGGTTGCGGCGAACCTCGTCGGCATTAGACGGTGCCTCCCGTGGTCGTGAGCTAGTAGCCACAGCAGCAGGTGCATCATCCTCAGCCTGCCGGGCCAGATCTACGGTGGATTCATTGCCGCGCTGTGACGGTGTAGAGGGTGCCTTTTTCGAATTGGAGCTGTTCCGCCGACTATCAAGACTTTTGGATAGAGTCTTGGCGACATCCCCGCCGGCGGAGGTGCGCTTCAGCCGAATGCTGCCCTTGGCGTCGACGTGCGCTGGAGCAACGGTGCTCTTCCCGAGGCCTGGCGTCGCGGGAGCTCCAGGCTTCTCCTCTGTAGCATCGAGAAGGTACCAACGAAGACCATCTGAGAGTTCGAAAGGATTCTCATCATCGAAGGAAGTGCCGTCGCTGACTTCGGTAATAGACCTTCGGTCAGGATTGGCGCCATTCAGCGATTTGGAGAGATCCACAACTCGTTCTTCAATCTTGGTGATGCGAGCGAGCAGCCAGTCTCGAGTCTGAAGTTTGTGCACGTCTTGCTCACGCAGGAAATAGTGCGGTGCGCCGACATTGAACGCCGCCCAAGACCGAATTGCTTGGTTCCTCGTCGGCAGGAATAGAGCGAGATCGCCTTCCTTGAAAGACCTATACGCAATCTTGTCGTGAGCTTCACTTTGCACCCGGTGATATTTGTCACGATACCCGCGAGCCTCCTTCTGCCACTTCCGGGCGAGGGTCTCAATGTCCTTGACGCGCTTAACGATGGCCTCGCCAAAAATGTCCACATCAAATTGGTACAAGCACTCTATGAAAGCCATAAACCTATCGGTCTCTTCCTCTTTGGTTTCGGCGTGCATCCAAGTTAGGAGACTCGCGTCTGGCTTCACAGAGACCACTCCGGACTGGCTAAGACTTTCTCCCGTGACAGACATGATATTGACTTTGGAAGATCTTTGCACAACAATGTTTCCGTCTTGCCGGATAATAGTAAACCCAAGTTGCTCGAGCATGCGTTCCAGCTTCTCAACCTGCTCGAAAAGCTGCTTAGAAAGCTGCTGGGATCTAAGCCCGCATGTTTCTGACCGTACCGTAGCCCGTTGCTCGGCTTCTGATATCGCCTCCACCTTCTTTCTCCAGGTCGTGACCTCTTCTTCCGATTGGCGAGCTAGGATCTCGACCTCGGCCAATCGTTGAGAGAGATTGGTGAGCTTTCGTTCTTCCTGCGTGACTCGCTCTCGGAGAGCATCAGAGCCATTTTCACCGGCGGCAAACTGGGTTTGAAGTGCAATGAGTTTTGATCGCTCGTCTTCCAGCTCAGAATTGACGATCTCTAGCTTGGATCTTTCATGTGCCAGCTCTTCACGAACGTGAAACAAATCCGCTTCCCGTGCGTCTGCACGCTTTCGCAACTCTTCGGTGTCCACCTCCATCTGGTTCAGGCGCTCTTCAAGCTCTTTGTACTCTGCTGCGGCCTGCAGAGCATTCTCTTCTGCATTCTTTGCATGGATAGAGAGCCCTTCAGAAAGCACCTCGATTGCCTTGGTAATGTCCATGGATTTGGCTGGGACAGAGCCGCCGGGAGATAGATTCATAAAAGCAGCTTGTAGAGAGCTAAGGTTTTCTTTTTCCAGCTTCTCATTTTCTGCAATTATGTTCTGTAACTCAGTTAGACGGAGACCAAGATCATTGGCCACGTCCTTATCAGATTCTATCTGCTTTAGTAGTTCAGTGGCTTTGCGCGATTCCTCTTCGGCGCGAGCGTGAGCCTCTTGCAACTCGGCTTCAAGCAGGTGAATACGCTCATCAGTGTCCTGTTTTTCGTGCTCGCGACTATCCAGATGCCTATCCAGCTCTTCTTCGACCTCCTCGGTACGTATCTTCAGCCGTTTTAGTTCGCCTTCGAGGTATCTTCGCTCCTCGTCAAATTCACGCTGTCGGGCTTCAAGATTGCCAATTAGATCTTTCTTCGTCGACTGCTCTTCTTGAATTTTATCAGTGTTCGATTGACGTTCCGCATGCGCTTCCTTCTGCAGCCGCTGTACCGTGTCCCGTTCTGCTGCCAACTCCGCTTCCAGATGCACTATACGTTGAACGAGCGCTTTTTCCTCGGGTGATTGGTTGGAAGACATCCGTCGCGAGGACACAGATGACCGCCTCGACAACGTATCAGGGTGAGGTGACGCAGGCGAGTTGGGAAAGTCTAGGGAGAAGTTTCCGCTAGAAGGTCGACTCATGTGACTCTGGCGATGCAGGAGGTCTTCCAACTTCCTGATGCGACTCTCGGAGCCTTTCAGCCTCTCCTCAAGTTTTCCCTTTTCGTCTCTCAGGCTCCGAACCATGTCATCGCTACGCAGCAAGAGGGAGCTTCGACTGAGATCAAAGAGACTACCTTGTTTAAAGGCCTTGGATCTGCGGCGCTGTAATCGGGTAGGGGCATCCAACTCTTTGTAAAGCTGGCTAAGTTCCTGTACCAATTGAGCCATGCCAGTCTTCGATTTCAGCTCCTCGATGTATGACTCAATCTCTTTTCTGCTGACAACTGGCCATTCGTACTCCTGACCTCGAAGGTTGACTTCAATACCAGGCGTCGAGGTGTCCGAAGTCGATAAAAACTCCCCCATATTCTTCATCCACTTCTTCCGTCGCCGCTGCTCCTCCTCGCGAAAGACTGACATCTCTTCCGCTAGGGTCAATGAATCATTTTTCATCTTGTCGCTGAACTCGCGACGCCGCGCCGCCTCAATCAATACTGAGCCGTAGATCATGGGCATGTGGAACACGGAGTAAATAATGTCAAATGCGTCGCTTCGAAAATTGAGGTTGTTGATCTGAGTCTGCACATCAGCCAGCCGGGACTCGATCGACGAGATGAGCCGCATATGACTAGAAGCCGCTTTGATAGCGGCGTTATTCCGATGGACAGCTTCTTCCAGGCCAGCCTGGAGTTCGCTACCGATGTCCAGCAGCGAGGGGAGTAGATCTTTCGTGTGACTGAGCGCGAGTCTAGATATATTCGCCAGCGCCTTTTGATTATTGGATAGAGCCAGGACATGTTCGTAGTCGGATTGGATCTTCTTAGAGATAGTTTCAACTTCCTGCAGCAGACCATCCACACCACCAACACCGGCAGGGAGAGCATCATCCACAAGACGTTGTGTATCTGCTGCGATTGTACCAACGTTTTTCTCAATATTGCTAACTTCCTGTGCAAAACGCGACGACTCCTCCGGGGCTTCCGAGCCAGCTCTCTGCACTTCTTCCACATCCACATAGTTGCGTAGAGTTCCCATCAACTGATCTTCACGCTTTGTGGGCGTCGACGGACGTCCTAGAAAGTTGAAATCCTTCCGAGCCGGAATGGTTTCCAACGATGCAAAGGCCTTCCTCCAACCATCCAACGCGGCATGTTGATCCTTCAACAACCCGTTCGCCCATGTCTGTGCTTCCTGGAAGCGATGCTCCAAGGTCCCCACGTGAGTCTTAAGGTTTTCGAGAGCTACGCCAGCTGCTCGGTTGATGATGTCTGTGCGCTCATTGTGTTCATGAATCTGTTTATCCACGGATGCGCAGCGCTCCGTGAGACTCAGGGCCCAGTCCTTCCTGGCACTATATAGAGACTTCCATGCTTGTAGATCGTTCTGGTTCGTCAAGGTATCGGGAGGGTTCTCGGGAGTCAGTGGCTGTGGTGGAGGCAGTTCCGGAAGCTCGAAAGTGGTTGGCTCGCTGACATAGCGTCTATCATACACAAAGATCTCGGTCTATCGATCAAGAAAATCAACTCAAGTACATGTAGTATTCATTTTCCATTGTGGCTGCTGAAACTGTATGCGTACCTCCGTGGCAAGTGTTTGGGCCTTGACATTCTTTCCCCGGGCAGTCATCAAGATCTGCCTTTGGGAGGGAATCGATGTGTTGCGAGTGATCCATGTTCGCAGTGCATCCGGGCTGAATAATGAGTTCGATAGCGTCAGCTCACTGTCATATTATCGGAGCCACCCAAAGGCGTAAGGGACTGGAAGTCCGAAGGGTGACAGTCGAGCATCCAAAAGGCGGTGATGGTTGGAGATGAGGAAGGAAGCCTGGGTAGAAGGCAGCAGTGACGATAACTTACGAGGCCAAAGACACCGGATCAGCGAGAAAATGCTCACCAGTGTGAGCTATGTAGATGTGCAAAGACATCACCTCCTCACCAGGTGAGCAGCGGAGAGAGAAGTTTGGTCGAGAACGTATTCGAGGGGGGAAGTTCAAGGGAAGGAATGCGGGAAGGAAGAAGATAAGGGAAAGAGGAGATGGAGAAGACGAGGAAGGAGACAGAAGGAGCAGTAAATGAATTGTCAGTCCGTCTGACCGTTGTCGGTAGTCAAGCAAAGCAGCCAGACATACATAATAACAAGGTATAACGGAGCTAACCAAATAATCTCAGAAGCTCACTTGGTGTGCATGAGTAGTTCTACACATTTGACAAGGTGCCCCGGGACCGCCCACCGCACGGCCGGGAACTCCACCGCCCTTAAACCCAGCAGCATCTGGACGCTCGTCGATCTCCAACTAGACTTTCCACATCCCCAATTCGAAGGGTGAGCGAGACGAACGCTGGGAAAGAGAACAAGAAGTTTGGAACAAGTATACTACTGTAAATCCCACGAGGTCTTATTCCATGACTTCTGCGAACCTTCGTTCCCTCCCTCACCTGGGCCCAGGTGAACTGGCCCTGTTAAATCTTGCGACCGATGATCCACGCGATACGGTATTGTTGTCGGACAAGGAGGCTTTGATCCTGCAGCTCTATCACCAGATCCAGGAACAGCAACTAGAAAAGGCACTACTAGAGCAAGGTATGTATGCACGCATGAATTGTCCCTTTCTCTCCTTCCTTTCTTATATTCTTTTCTTAGTATAAGTGCTATTCATGCCTATTGATGTTTCAACAGACACGGAATTGCTCTCGGGTGACAATGCGGAAGAGGAACTAGCCAAAGCAGAACGTGAGCTGCTGGAGGCGAGAGCCACCTACACAGTCAGGAGGAAGGCTGTGGGAACCGTTCTTATGACTGATCCTGCCCTAAAAGCTGTTCATCTGAAGGCCACCACTCCAGCTGAAAGGTATTTTTGTCCCTTCGATATGGTCTTCTATGCTTCACCAGCCCTGCACTTCATGCGTTGACGTTCCCTGACTCCGCTAATATACGATAGGGCCCTTCATCGGCTGATCAACCGTCGCGATGTGCTGTCCACAGTACATGAGAATTTGAATGCCATGCATACGGCGTCGCTCCAGAAGCTTACTGGGTTGGAGGTAAAGAATCTACAGCTCCACCAGAAGAATCAAGAACTGGTCCGCGAGCTACTATCCCTCACAGAGGATGATGAATCCTGGAGGGAGGATCTTGATGACCCGGAGCTCAAATCACAGCTAGAGCAATTGGAGGCAGATCACCGCAGAAGCAAAGCGAGATGGGAGGTCATGAAAAGCATCGCCAGCGCTATAGTTGTTGGGAGCGAAGTGAACTGGGCCGAAGACGAAACGCTCACCGCCCTGGTTCTAGATGAGTCTGACGATTAATGTACTGTAACTACGAAGAAGAGTAGAGTGGTTTTTCTAGCGTTTACTCGGGTCAGGCGTTATGGGTGGAAAGGATTATACCCTTGATGAATGGTGGATCGACAATCGAACAGTGCCAGATGACGGATTATTTGGGGTTCCATGGCTCGCATTGGACTTGATGATCGATCAAAATGATACTTGAGTACATGATGACTGAGCAATTGGAGTCCGCTCCGCACGATAGCAATCGATCAATAAGAAACGGCAGGAAGGTCTTAGAGAAGTCTGACGAAGTTGCAATGCTCGACCTAATTATTGGGGCTGAGAAAAAAGGCGCGAAGACCGAACTGAGTGGTGTGACCCACGTGACATCATGGCCCACCGGCCGAAGGCAAAGAAGCTACTAAGCCTTCGTCATACGGTGGGTGGGCTAGCTAGCCAATGCTTTGTGGTGGCAGCAGCAGCAGCAACTTGATGCTTGAATATGGATGGGTAAGTAAACGGTGACCCCAAGCCGATAAAGTGAGGGAGCCCTTGCAGCAGACAAGAAACAAAGGACAAAAGGGAACTGACAGCTGGGTTGGCGGTAAGTTAGCAGTCACAGCTGCAGGTAAAGCAAAACGCCGCCAAAAACTGGCCAGCCTAAGTCTTGCATGTGAGCTGAGGAGATTTGCTTAGAGGAGGGGGGGTGGAGGAAAGACAGAGAAAGATCTGAGCAAACCAGAAGAGAGCCCGGCGTTTCCACCTAGAACGGTAGAACCAAGCAACGGAGTCAATGACCCCTCACTATGGATTGAGAATTACTGAGAGGGCAGGGCGCAGCTGCCCCGATTACAATACATACTTTAGGTATTGTTAGACGTCGTTGGGAAGGTTGTACATAGTACGCGGATCCAGTATTTTGCCGATACTGTAAGTTTTCAATGGGTGTTGTTTGCAGTGCGGAATGCGGTGGCATTTGCACCGGTACTGTACAGGACGTCGCTGGAAGGTCTTCCTCTCTCTTATGCAACCCTCAAGATAGATCACTGCAACCCGCTGATATTGTTTTTTTTGGGTAGCGACAACAACCGCCAATATTACCACAGGCTTTTAGTGAACAAGCTTGAGGATTTTTGCCATATGACCGAGAAAGTCGTACAATTGGGGACCTTAACCCATTATGAGGAAGAGAAAGAGGAGTCCGTATCTTCTACTGTACGCTCGGGCTCCGCCTATTCCAAGCTTGCTGGTGCGAGAAAGGAGATTCTCTAACTATACAGGAATTTCTTACAGGACTTCACCAATCTCAGTAGGATGTAGCTGACCTGACTGGGTAGTAGCAGTAGCAGCAGCAGCAGCACTGGTCTTGAAAACCGGGCACAGAGCAATAGATGATCGCCAAGTATGAGTGGTTTGTGACTGGTACAATAGCCAACTGAAGGGAAGTTGGCACTAATACTTGAAATAGGAGGTTCCAATCAATAATACTTACATAGTAGGCGTACTTGTTTAGTAACTCCGTCTCCCTGGAATTGGCAGAATAATTTTTATGATTAATTTAGTTAACAATAGTGCTCCTGTTATCACCTCTACATCACAGTTGCAGTACTCATTCCGCCGTTCATTGGAAGAAGCGGCCTACCCTCGAACAGGAGCACTTCTTAGTGCCACTAGACTCTGTTTCCACCTCCAGCACAGCAATGGGTCAGCCATCGTCCTCGTCTCAGTCAGAGGCATATCCAGCGGCCTATAGAAAGTGAATTGTGCAAGGAGCGCTGTAGGGTATCCACATCATACGACTTCTATATAGCGCTTGGTCCATGTAGAGTAGATACATCGAGCATCAGAATGCCTTTGGGGCAGTGTTTCTTCGGGGTGAATAGCACAATAATAATAATAATAATAATAATACTACTACTACTACTACTACTACTACTACTACTACTACTACTACTACTACTACTACTACTACTACTACTACTACTACTACTACTACTACTACTAGTAGTAGTAGTAGTGATATCCAGGGCTGGCACCAGTTGAGTTGACAAAGTCTTGACTACTCTCGATAACTTAGCGCCAGTGGATTGAACGCGGGAGAAGGGTGAGAGCTGCGCGCAAAGAGCATCCTCGTCTAATACTCTGCAGGGCTAGATCTTACTTACCCTGAGGGAAGCAGGCACAGGATTTATGGCAGGATAACGCGGAGAATTATCGACGCGGATGTGATCTCTTGGTTGAGATCGCGCCAGCTCGGCCGTGGTTCCTTCCACCGAGGTACAGTACAAAAGACAGCCCAGGTCATTTCTTTGTGCAGTGGTCAGTCACAAACAGATCGAAATGGTCCAATAATGCAGCTGCCTATGTATATGTGAACTTCTTTTTCAAAGAGATGGAAGCCCGAAATGTGTTCAAAATTACTAGCTATTCAGAGACTCGCCTTCGCAGATCCTCCCCAGAATAGATGTACCGACGAAGGAACTTCCTTCAATGGCGCGGCATTTGAGGGCAGTCGCGGTGTGAAGTACGACTGAGCGCTGCCAGATTAGTAGCAGTTGTTCCCTGAGCGCCTGCCCCGGATGTACGATACTCACTGTACTGCCCCGGTAGCTTCCAGTTTGCAGTATGGTAACTTGTCCGTTACTATTGGAGTGGTAACTATCGGATACACCATGGAGCAACCTCTCTTTCCATCGTGTTACGGCTATGTATTTTACCCAAGGTCAATTACCCACCCATAGTGGCGCACAATGGGGTATGAGTAGTGTACGGTATTAACTCATACTGGGGGTAACGGTGGAGCTGCATCAGGTGCAATGCTCAGCACCCACCTTTTTTTCTTCAGTCGGCAACTGAAGCATGGATTGGACCATGGGAGTGGGAGTCATTTAGATTTGCTGAGAGGAGCACTGCAACCCTGAAGGATAAACCACTCAAGTTGCCCAGACAAAGCGTGAAAGGTCAGCCAGAATGTCGCAGCGGAGAATCGCAGGAGGGGAGGAGAAGAAAATGACAAGACATGACGGGTATGGAACCATACGGACCATTCTCCAGTAACCAACCAGCCAGTCGCAGCCGGCAGAGAGCGGTTGTTTCCCTTGCTGTGCTGCCCACTTCCCCCCTTCCCAAGAGTGAGTGAGAGTGAGGTAGGAAGAGTAGGTAGGTAATGGCCCGCCCGCCTTCCCGTCTCCCTCTCTCTCTCTCTTTTCCTACTACTACTACTCTCCCCTCTCCCTCCCTCTCTCACACTCACTCCCTCACTCACCACTCACTCACTCACTCTACCTGCTCTCCTCCCATACAATTCTCTCTCCCCATACAAAAAAGTACTGCATATAACCGCATCGGTAGGTTCCATATCAACATTCCGCCTTTCGAGCACTGTTTCTTCAACACCAACACAAATTGAATTTCTTCCTCAATCCCGTTTTATTCCATCCTGATTGCTTTTTCAAATCATCATTTCCCTTGGTTTTCTCTCCGGAGTTGCGCGATCTCGCTGTCGCGCCCTCTGCAACAGCACTCTTATAGTTCCTAACAGCCCTGAGCTGCCCCAAAGCTCTTTTAATTCCCCCACAGTCTTTCCTTGCCAATTCTGTTTCCTTGTCGTTCGCCTTCTGCCTGACTTGGTTGTCAGGTAAGTCACAGTTCTGCGCGACTTGCCCTCATGGTGTCGTTTGGCTTGCGACCGCGATCGTTCTTGTTTGGGCGCGCGCAAACCACGGGTTGACGCAACACTTCCCTCCACCTTCTAGCTTACGCGCTCTACAATTCCCCTCCTTACTTGTCTGGTTCTCTCTTGCCGCCGTTCTGTTTGCATCAAGTCATCTGTCTGGCACCTCTCTGCTGCCCTTGCGAGCCTTTCATCCGCCAAACTCAACAATCCCCAACCTTCAAGCTAATCTTCACGTCTGCAGACTTCATTTTCAAAATGCCCAAAGAGAAGGCTACTCGCAAGACTAAGGGTCGTGGTGTTGAGCGTAAGAAGAAGGGTAAGCATCCACCTCTTCATCGATAATGCTATGACTGACTTGTTGCTCTAGACCCCAACGCTCCCAAGCGTGGTCTCTCCGCCTACATGTTCTTCGCCAATGACAACCGTGAGAAGGTTCGCGAGGAGAACCCTGGTATCTCCTTCGGTACGTACTGCTTACTATGTCCGCGATGGCACCTGTCGCTAACAGTCCTCTAGGTCAGGTTGGTAAGATGCTCGGAGAGCGGTGGAAGGCCCTGAGCGATACGGAGCGCCGCCCCTACGAGGATAAGGCTGCTGCCGACAAGAAGCGTTACGAAGACGAGAAGGCCAGCTACAACGTAAGTTGCCATGAACTCCGTATCCTCTGAAATATATTAACCGTGTTGGTGTAGGCTGCTGCCGAAGAGGATGAGGAGTCCTCTTAAAGCTCCCCAGTCCCCTAGGTCTTATTGCGTGGACCCAACGGCGTTTGTGTCTTTTCTCGTGTGACGTGTATTTGTGGCTTTCTATATTCTATTATCTATTCAACGGCTTCTGGTACGGATGACGGTGGTTGTTTCCTCTCCTGGCTTTTCTGTTCATGAAGGATATCAATGGGAAATGTTTACTGTACGGACTGGCGGCTTTCGGACACATTTGGCTTGAATAAGGGAGTCCCGGCGCTGAATCTCAGAGCTGGAAGGAAACCTGATTTGAGCGTCTATGATGAAATATCGAAATGAAGCTGCAGAAAGTGTGAGGCCAGCAAAGACTGCTGTATAATAGCTTAATCAACCGCATCCTCACCTAAGCGACTCTGGATCCCGTCCCCTTTTCTCTAATGTGTTTTTCGATCAGTCTAGTGATGAATGATTGATTTCCTGTGAGGTTATGTAAGGATATCAATCCAGATCTAGTACGTAGATTGCTTCCATGGGGGAGTGCTCTGCTATTTCTGGAAGGACTTTCCCTTGCAGGAGTTGGCCCAAGCTCCCGGCGGTGACGCGGGGCGACAGCTTGTTTACGTGTTCGACGCGTCCAGTTCTCCGATAAACCCGGGGGACTAGAGCCTTGAAGCCTTGGAGCCTGAATTATCTTCGTGCCTCAGGCCAGTGAAAGCAACGGCATGTGTCATGTGGACCTGATGTTGTGAACGAGTCATCTCGATCAAAAAGTGCTGGTTAACTTATGGCTCGGCGGTCAAGTCTTCATATACTTAGTGGATGCTTGGCTAGGAGTATATTTATGTATATCTGCCCAAAGCTACGGCATATCAAGTCAAGTATATATGCCTGACACGGGCGTTTGTCAGAGATAACTTCAATATAGTCCTATGCAGTACAGTACATACTTCGCTGACTACAACCACACTTGCCACCACTTGTTCTGCTTGGAAGTATATTGTCCATCTCTTCCTTAACTCATTTTAGCTGCTAATGTTATCTTCGAAACATAGTTAATAAAATTATCATTCTTGGTATTATTCATAACTACCACGCAAACAGTAGCTATTGACAGTCACGCCTGTCTGATGCGAATGACATCAGGCAATCATTCTGGACGTGCTCTCCAATATCGATCTACTTGACAGCACCGTTGAAAGTTCAGGATGCAGTGCAATGAAGCCGTCGGCCCCAAACTTTAACAACGATTAGATTTCCGAGTCTTCTTCCTCGAGGATCCCGTGACTGCCAGGGTTCTCGGAGTCCTCTCTCTCTTCTTCCCTAGTAAGGTTTCTGTTTCCCCTCATCTGCAAGTCAGACAGACAGACACTAATCACTACCGTGGTTAATTGAGTCGCTCCGGCGAATTTTCCTTGTTGACAAAGTACTCTGTACTATGTCAGTCATGGCCAATATGACATACAGACAGACTGAGCAGTATCCTCTGCACTGTTTGCTGCAAAGGGTATGAAGGCACTCCTTGTCATCTCTTGCATCGAAAACTCCCATCGCCTGTGCTCGTATCACCACAAACCCCCCACCAGGATAAAGTCACACCACGGCCTTCTCGTCGTCTTCCTCCTCGATTTTCCCCTCCACCATCGCTCCATCCCGCCATGCATTTCCACCGCCCGTTATTGGCTTTTGCGCGTCGCCGCCGCATGAACACGTCAATGGTCCCCCCCCTCTCTCCCTTTGAGGTCGGAGGCACGTTACAATCGTTAAACAAGACAGACAATCAATTTGTCGGTCTGTCGGTCTCAGGCTTCTTCTTCTGACCTTCTGGCTTCTGGCTTCTGGCTCCAGTGCCGGTCTGTCCGTCCGACAGAGAGCCGCAAACTAACTACCTACCTAGTAACTATGGGCTGCTGCCATTCCGTCCGGCAACAAACTAGACTGAACTTAGCCCCACCCGCGGGTGATTCTTGTTCGCATTCCTTCCTTTGTGCGGGTGATCGAGATCAAAACCCTGTCTGACTTGAATTCGACCCTCTCTTCTCTCCCCTTCCTGTGTGTTTACGCGCTGGTGCTGGTGCTGGTGCCCTCTGCGTGTGGTGCAAGTTGCACCTTTGCCTGGTCAATCCTTGGGCGAGACTCCAATCCATTCATCCATACCTACTGGTCTGCGTCCATCTATCTGTTTGGTGAGACTCCAGCCGACATGCCTCCTAGGAACGATCCCACCGATAAGCGGTTCTCTTTCTGACTCCAGCATTGCAGTCTACTGAGTTGTCTCCCACTGCCCCTCTCCTGGTGTATCTACTACCCTATCACGTAATTCTCCTGGGGCGCCGTTGATCTTCCTTACTGCGATCTCCATATAAATCGTCAAGCAGCTATAGTCAGCCGCGTGTGTCTGTCTGGTGGGAGTCTATCTCTTCCTTTCCTCTCGACCTCAACCATACAACGAAGGATCCCCATAAGCATACATGCATAGCCTTACCATAAGTGACCATCACTATGGCTCTGCGTACATCTGCCGACAATGCAGAGGACGTGGCCGCTGGCTTTCGTCTTTTCCGCGACCCCCTGCCGGAGCATTCAACGGAGATCACCAGCCTGATCGCCGATCTCTATGCAATTAGCACCTCCCTCAAGAACCTCGAAGACTTGGCCCGCAATCGCAACTACCGGCGCAACCTGCACGCCGTCCAGCCCGACCTAGAACTGGTTCGAGCAAGCTTGAAGTATACGCTCGAAGATGTTGTCGACTTCTTCGGAGACCTGGAGGCGCGGAGAGGCTCCAGCCGGGAGGTCTACAAACGGACATGGGTTGACCTCTGTACTTTCTTCCGGGAGGAGTCGCACGACTCACTGTCTACCCGTCTAGCCAAGTATAAGGCCTTTCTGTCCGATTTGGAGGCTCTAATGAAGGGGTTCGTTACTCCACGTGGCTCTCTCCGGAAATGCAGGTCAATTGACAAATGCGTCTGTAATCATGTAGTAATGCACCCGATGATCGACTGATGTCCTCTCTGCGACGCAATCTCAAAGGTTTGTTGGTGCAGCAGGAATCCCAGGTTGCGTCGCACCTGGGCTCCCTGTCTCTGAGTTCTCCCTCGTCGAGCAGCAGCAGTAGCAGCAGCAACACCAGTGGCGAACCCGGCAGTCCAGTCAATGATCGCAGACCCCGCACCCGACGATCCTACGAGCGAGCTCGTCCGTCTCACCTGGGGCCCCAGTCGCCCACCTCCGCTTCATCTGGCACCTTCTCGGATATCCCTCCCTCGGCTCCAGATGCACCGGGCTCGCCCTCCACTACGACTGCCACGAGCCAATCGACCAATTCCAGTGTACTTGGCGAGCATTGGGCGAGACGGGTGTTCTTAGATGATCACCCGCAAACGCCTATCCCCTATATTGGCGAAAGGTGAATCCAATGGCTTCAGTAGTGCAGACATCCGCTAATAGGCTGCAGCTCCAAGTGTCTGGGTGAACCCAAGTCCAATCCGAAAGCATGGCTAGAGGGCGAGGGATTCGAGGAGCTTTTACAGTTGTGAGTTGCACATGCGCCTGATCTCGGTCGATGGAAAGACTGACGGACGGTAGAGCATTCAATAGCGAGACGGATCTCAGAGTATGCTTCTATTTACGAGATGAAGACCATCGTGCACGCATTGTGTGCAAAGCACGCCGTTCTGCGCGGTCGAACGAATATTTCATCCTGCCCTTGAATATGCTGGAGATCGTCCGTGTCGGATCCTGTCTACAGTTGTGCCGGCGCCGTCGTGGGGGCAGCGAACTGGTTCTGTGGGCCAACCTCAAATTCAGCACCATCGAGCGTACGTGTGATAAATGGGTGTTCTACTGGGCTCTACTAACGCAAGAACAGAGATGGTGATTTTCTTCTGCACCTTTTTGGCACTTCGATCGCAAGATTCCGGGCGTCCTGTGGCTGTGGAGAGTATCCGCGATTACGAGCTGGCGCAAGAGGAAGAACTCTTTGGAGGGTAAGGTCACCCCTGTTCAGTTGACGGCGACAGGCGCTAATCGAGCCCGCCAGACAAATTGTGGACGACGATTTCCTTCATGCATTGCGTGTTTACCGGGACGAGGTGTCCGGCGCTGTGCGGCTCCAAGCATCGGTCCACAAGGGGGAGTTGAAGCGGTAAGTCTCGACGAGTTGTGCCATACGGCCGTCTGGCTGAATGATCTAGATCCCCCGTCTGGACGGCTTTTATCACAGACCACATCGGGACTCGCGGCTGGATTCGCCGTACTGAGCCTAAGGTTGTGGTGTTGAAGGAGATACGCCGGAGTCTCTTCACGTTCCCTGATTATACACCCCCTCAGACAACTCGGGGAGAGCATGTCCTGAAATTCACCCATCGTTCAGGTACGTACCAGCGATCATTTCATGTGTAGAAGATGTGTAGAAGATGCTAACTCTGGTTAGATGCGCAAGGATTTTATGAGACTATGACTGAGCTCGCACATGGATGACACACATGCTGTCAAAAGAAAAATGGATACGATTGATGACTGATGATTGATGACCACTAAGAGTCAATCCGGAGGTTTCCTGTTTGTTGTCGGAATGACCGTGACGGTAGCATGTGCTATATATACATAAAGCTGGTCTCAGACCAGGCAATGATACCCTTTGATTACTCCGTGGACCTGAGTTCTTTTAATGTCATGAATTATTTAAGATTTCGATGGGTATCTCTAGAGAAACAAACACGCAACGCCAGCACGAATGCGAAATTTTGGTGGAAGTGATTCATACCGCGCCGACGTCGCCCAACCCGGCCAGGAACATCTCGGCGCGCCTCTTGGACCTCAACTCGTCCACCTTGACGCGCCTCCCGTTCCTCGCCTCCTCCCTCTTCGCGCGCCGCTGCTGCTTTTCCTCCCTCTCCCTCTGCGTCTCCTCCCTCGCGGCCCGCAGCTCCTCCATCTGCCGCCTCCTAGTTTCCTCATCCCTGGCGAAGGCATAGAACCCGGTGCCGCGGTTCCTGACCTCGGCATCGGCATCGTAATGGGTCTCCTCCGGCGGGGTCACCGAGCGATCCCGGCGTTTCGCCAGGTAGGCCATGTGCGCCGCGACGTTCGCATCCGGGTTGAACGCCTCGCTCTGCACGGTCTCCCCATAGATAAGATTCTCCGGCCGACGCGGCCGCCACCTCTCCCCAGCCTCGTGACGGCCCCGATCCCCATCCTCCTCCAGCTGCTGCTGCTGCTTCTTCGCTCTGGCCGCCTCGGCCGCCTCAGCCCTGGTCCCGCGCCTGGTCCGCCCCAATTCATCCTCGTAGGAGATAATCGACGCATCATCCCTGTCCCCCTCCCTTTCCTCCTCATCATCCTCCTCACCCTCATCACCAGAACGAGAATGCATATCCGCCCACTTCCGATCAAAATCCACCAACCCCTCCCTCTCCCTCCGCCTCAACCTCCTCAGATATTTCTCCCCTTCCCCCTCCCCTTCCCCTACCCTATCACCATCGCCCTCGGAATCAGAATCACTACCACCGAGATACAACCCCCTCCTCAAATCCTCATACACCCTCGCCTTCTCCTGCATCCGCCGCTTCGACCGCTGCAGCACCGCCTCATCCACCCTACCCCCCAGATCCCGGGTTCGCTGGTGCACCTGCGCAGTTGCACCGGACAGTGTCGTCGCATCGCTCTCGTCCACAACAAGATCCTGCGCCGCGCGCTTCTGCGCCCCACGATTCGGGCGGGCGAACAGGCCATCGGATGAGTCTTTGGATTTGGAGGGGCGGGGGCGGCCGGTTGACGTTGTTGAAGATCCCGGATCCCGGGCGGCGATGAGGTTGGACAGGGTGGTTGTGAAGGCTAGGGTTGAGGAGGAGGGGGCGGCGGATTGGAAGGCGGATTGCTTTTTGCGTGGCGGGTGGCCGTAGAGGTTTTGGTTGGACATCTTTTGCTTCTTCTTCTTCTTCTTCTTCTTCTGTTTCGGGGAAGGGGACTTGGTGTTATCGTGGTGGTGGGTTGTATGCGGGTGGTTATGTTTGTCGAAAATAGAGAGGGTAGGGAGGTAACTTGGAAGCAATGTTGAGGGCCGCGGTGTTGGATAGTAAAGGATATCCGATAAGACCTACTACACCTACTCCGTACATACAAGTAGACTTAAGTCGCGAAGGTGCTTGGGTCCTCCGCGGAGTGCACTATTCCTAATTGGGTGGAAGATTTCTGCCACCGCCAAAACCTACCACTCCGCCCCTCCTTTTTTCGGGGCCTGTTCATGGCCAATATCTGGATTCCGGCTGCGAGGTCGCAAGCGTTCTGCCGTCGGGGCGGTGTATAATCACAAGTTTTGATTGATTGGGATAGGACCGCCTTTTTGACCGCTCTATGCGGCAGACTGGTCGCGACCTCGCAGGCCGCAGCAGCGATTTCGGTGGTGAACAGGCCCCGGAAAAAAGTGGGGCAGAGTGGTAGGTTTTGGCGGTCGCAGAAAATGGTCCAGATGCCTCGGTTCCCCATTCCTGAGGAAGTTGTATGATGCTCGGCACTACACTCTACTTTTTATGTATACCAAAGCTGCAGAAGGGCATTCATGACGGACAGTATCTGCTTATCCAGGCGACGATAGCTCTATGCTTTCTACTCTCCAAGGAGTCTAGTATGGGCTCTAGCATTTAGCCTGTGTCACCCCCGCAGATATGCCTTCACTGCCACCCCCCAGACCGCCCCCCTCTTATACCACCACATCTCCGGCACACTGCCCCCCTTCAACCCATCAATCGCCTGCGCCAACTCCTCGCCTAATCCTTCCTCCTTGACCGTCCGGATCGGGTAAGTATACGTATGGAAGGTGAACACCAGCGCCTTGGTCTTGGGCAGACGATGGAGCGTCTGGCGCTCACAGCGCAGGAAGGTCTACAACCGAGGTTAGCAGCACATCTCATGCCCGGATAACACAACACAACACAACAAAAAACAACGAGAGCCGACATTCGGTAGAAAAGGGGTGATTGAACAGAACATACATCATCAACATTCAACTCATCCAATCCCATCACCCCATCATCCCTCCCGCCCTTTTCCTCCCCACCATCATTCGTAGTATCTCCATGAATGCCCCCGAACGCAGCAAATAACTCCGTCCCCGTGGTCACACTCCAATTCACCCGCTGCACGAACCGCCCGACCTCCAGCCTTGCAAAGAATCGGTCCATACTCTTCTCCAACTTCCCCTTGTACCGCGGCACGGGGTCGTGGATGGCAGGGAGCGTGCGGCCGAGTTTCTCCCGCGTGTCGAATCCCGCCGGGTAGAAGGTCGTGTACGCTTGCAGGGTGTATTCGTCTTCCTCCGCCTCTTCCTCTTCATCACCACGGGGTGGACCCACTCGCGAGGTAGGCAGTAGAATTAGAAAGTCCTCGTCCACGACCGTTCCCAGCGTGGTGAGGGCTTCGCGTGCGGAAATAGGGCATCTGGTCGGGAGGTTACGATTGGTGATTCTGTTGAGGAGGTACTTCGGTTTCGTCTCCGTCGTCGCCGTCGTCTCGGCTAGACCACTTTCCTCCTTTGCGTCACTCGTGCTGCTTGCTGGACCTAGATTGCTGCTGCTGCTGCTACTGCTGCTACCAGGAGAGTCGACCAAATCAAAGACCCCCGGATACCTGGTGGGGAGGTATACGCCGAGAACAAACTCGTAGAGCTCGCGGACGGCAGAGTGAGCGAGGCTGCCCTCTGTTTCGGCGGTGGGTGTGACGCCGATCACGACGGAAGGGTATTTCGAAAGCAGGGACTGGCGGTAGGCGAGTCGAGATCTGTAGGTCTTGTCGATTGGGATGAGGGTGGAGATGTCGAGGTTCGAGAGGGCTGTTTTGTCGGGGGTGGATTAGTTTGTCGTATCATGATGGGGAATGAGGTTGGTCTTGGGTTAATGACAACAACAACAACGGGCCATAGGGGATATAGTCCATTATAGATCGGGTGGGTGCGTTGAAGCGAGGCGTAGAGCGTCCCTAAGACACTGCCCTGTGCAACAGGAATGGGCGACGAAAGAGGACAGAGAAAGGTTTGCACGGGGAGATTCAGAGCTCCATACCCATTGTGAGATGATACTTCGCCTTGAAAGGCCGGAACTGCAGTGGCTCGGTAGTCTCCCAGTCGAAGGAGTGGAGAGGCTCAATGGGCGGGTACCCAGCTTTCTCTGCTTCCGAGACGACATTATCAATGGAGTTTGGCTGGCCCTGGGCATTCTCCAGTTAGTTCCAATATCACGGTACATAATCAGAAAGACATACTCGGATGAATCGTCCAAAGAGCCAGAGGGTGAGTACAAGGAAGACGATTGAGAAGGGATACCGCTCGACGTATAGTATGCTGGCATCAACGGTTGATGTGAGAAGGTCCATTGTCCGACCTCTTGGGTAAACTAGTATTTCTGGTAAAACCGGCTGAAAGAGGAGGAAGAATTGAGGAGAGATGTAGGAGAGGTGCGAGTAACGTGCACTGCAGTACTCCGATAGAAGTACTTCCACGTTATCATGCGGCAGCCCCGGGCCCAGATAGTACAGTACCTTATCCTCCCGACTCATGAATGGCATACTATCGCGGGCTGCCATTGGTGGGGATCCCCGCTGTATGCTGATTGCTCAACCGGCCGATAGTACCTTAGTCACGATAGTAACTTGGAACCTGATCATTTATATTAGGACAAATTGATATACGGAGAAATAAGAGTACATACAGGGTATCAATATACACAGACGAATTTCAAACATGTCGCCAGTCACTTTGTCCATACATGCAGACCTCCCTCCAACTGCCACCTGAGCACAGGCATCCATCCACCTTCCCTTCCACGCGATAGCCAATCGGCAGTCAGAGAGTTCATCCAAGGCAGCATAAATCCAAAATTCGACAAGACTGAAGGAAAATAGCCTCACCGGGAGGCGAGCAGAGCTCTCGCAACACAGAAGCGGGGAGACGCCAAATGCGCTCAGGTGTCCTCGTCTCCCTCATACCTCCGCCCTCTGCTTCGTAATTTCTCCACGCTTGCAATCCCCCCATCTCCGATGTCATTGACTATGGCCCCCGTCCCCAGCCCCAGGACCCTAGGCTGCCCATCCGGCCTCTCGTTCAAGCTCGGGGCTCGCGGTCGCTGCTTACCCCTCGCTCGTCCGCCGATGAGGGGGAATTCATATTTCACCATCCGCCATATGTACAGACATATGTCGAAGACCAGTAATGTAACCCAAGGGAGTATAGTGACAAAGCCGAGAAATATCTATGGTGTGACCAATCGACCGTTAGTGGTAAGCTTGGAAGAAAAAGCGGTAAGCAAGGAGAGGGAGGGGGTAGGGGGCGGGTGAGACGGACAAAGACTCGCACAAGCCAATTTTCAATATAGAGAAAGTCGGGCGGAAGAAGTGAGTACCATGCCATGGTGGTGTATGTCAAGGCTTGAAGTTTATTATGGGTAGGGATATGGATTGTTGTAGAAGAAAAGGAGAGACGCGGAAGGTAATGGAAGGTGGTGTATTGTTCGTTTCAATCGATTGGTGGTGGTGAGGTTGCTGGAAGGCCGGCGAGCATCGGGGTGGGTACGGCACGAGTTGGCAAACAGGTACAGCAGTCGCCAGGACTTGTCCGCTGGCTGTGGGTTATATATTCCCTGTCGACTGGGGTATGGCGAAGCTGTTTGTATTCGATCACAGGGAATCCGACGGCACCCGGAGTCCGGCTCGGCACTTAGGAGTGGTGGGCGCAAGCAGCAAGGTACGTGGGCCGATGGTCAGTTGTTGCAGGAGAAGTCGGTCGGGCAGTCACGGAGCTACCTTGACTGGAGATGAACAACCACATTGCAGCCCCGTGAAGCAATCGAAGCTGGTTGGTGTGAGAGAAGAGAGAGGGGAAGTTGATGACGGATGATGGACGAAGCGTGAGGGCCGATGAGCTGCGGGTCTGGCCATTAATTGGTCAGCACCCTTGGTTCCTGAGGAGCCTTCCGGGTTCCTATCTGGTATAGTACGAGTAGTTCCATGCACTAGCTATTTGTTATTACTGTGTTATTGAACAAAACACATCTCGTCCACTTTTGCATGTGATCCGGAAATCCGTATTGACACACAAATCTTCTAATCATGTAAATATGTACAGCTCTTGCTCAAATGTTTAAACAAAACAAAATAGTCGTGGGCGCGTTGCTTCCGCTACTCCTGCCTCCTCGCAAGAGGAAGCCCAAAAATCCCATCCCAAACTCTAATATATCAACGATCTAGTAATCGTTGTCGCTGCAAAACAATTAAAAAAAATCATATCTGCACACAGCGTCTAGTGTGGCATTCGGTAGTGCTCATACGAGGTGAAGGTAGGATCATCCTGCTCGACAGGACCGTAACCTCTCGTCCGCCAGCGGTCCAATGGCGTGGCCATCTCCGGAACTGCCGGCTGTTGTGCTTGAGCAAGCAGCTCCGTCTCACTCTCGTTACGCTGCTGATAGAGTCCGCTGCCTCCTATGGGTGCGGGAACACGGAAGGCAGGATGGATGTGGTCGTAGGCGGTCGGATCGTAGCTATCGTGCGGTTTCAATCCGGAGAGAGACGGCACCGATGGGGTCGGGGACGAGGCGCGCGAAGAGGTGGGCGACCACTCACCCAATGCACTCCGGGGCGTATGCGAGCGTTCGGTAAACACATCGTCCGGACGACCATAGATACCACCGCCAAACTCGTCCCTGAAATCCGGCCGGTCCTTGTAGTAGGAGAAGTCTAGATGATTTTCGGGGACGACTTCGAAAGGCGCCGGGCCCGTAGCGTCCATCATAGATTTTCCCGGGTGGGCCGTCGACATGGCATCCATGGCAATGTCTGAGTATTCACCCTCGGCGTCGGCAGTTCCCAGACGACCGCTGTAGATACGCTTCAGCGCTTCCGCAGCCCGGGCGTGCACCATCGGGGTAATGAGGGGCTTGTAGAGGGCGGGATGGCCAAACTTGGCGTTTAGCCGCTCAGATGCCTTCTTGTTCGGTTTGCTGACTGCCAGGGCCTCGGCATCCGTGAGGTTTGCGCGGTTGTAGTAGGTGATGTCAGAATCGAATTTCCTCATACAATAATACTTGAAGCCGAGCATCATGAACGGCAGCGGAACCACACAATAAACCATGGTCCAAGTACCCTTGGCTTTAGCCACAAAGGCGATGACGGTGTTGGACAAGATAACCGCAAAAACCATGCGGTTGAACAGAACGCGCCAGAATTGACCGCCGGACTCGGTCTTCGTCACAAACACATACATCAGCATGTACTTCTTCATCATTGCATCCAGCCCAAAGTAGAGCGCGGTGACGGGTAGCACAATGGGCTGTAGTGTCGCGAAGCAAAGCGCGACGGTAGCGTAGAAGAGGAAGTAGTTGTAATACATGGCATACTCGAAAGATGGCGGAGCTGTCCACTCAATAGCCTGGCGAGGGGTAGGCGAGAGGAACGTCTTGGAGAACCATACCCAGAAGACAGTAACCAATTGAACCAGATCAATGGTGGCACCCAGATTTCGCTGCAATAAATAGGTCACCCAGAAGGGAGACACGTTGCACAGGGCACTCACGATCTTCTCATAGAACTGTCCATCCTGGATGGCTTTCCAAGCGTTGTTGTCGGTCTTCTGGGCATCGATGACAGCGGAGACGAATGTCCAGGCGGCAGCGAAGAGGGAATAAACGATAAGGTTGTTGAATACAAAGAACGAGTAAAGCCGGCCAAGCACATGACGCTCGCGAGAGGTCTTAGTGACGTCGCCCGCCCGAATTGCCAGCCGTCGGAAGATGACGGGCAGAACGAGGTAGACAAGAGATGTGATGGCGGGAGACAAGATACCCTGAACTGCGGCCCAAACCTTGGGATTGGCATCGAGTGATGTCTGGAATGCGGGCCACACTAGACCCAGGTTCGAAAAATTGGACAGAAAGATAGCAATCAATCCGTTAGGCACGATGTACACGAATGTCAAGAGCGACACCCAAATCGCATTGAGGAATCGTTTCCACCTCCGTGCGCCCTTGGACAGAGGGAGGTTCTCCCAGATCAGATCGTCTGGGCGAGTGGCCAGGGCGATAGTCGTGCCTTGAGGGTGCTTGTTGCGTGCGTTATATGCCACAGCGTGCGCATGCTCGATCATATCCCAGCTGACGAAGCCAAAAGGCATGGCGTTGCGTCTATCTATAGAAGACCGAACATGTCGGATCTCTTCTTCCAATCGCTGAATACGACTTGTCAAGTAATCAATGGCATCCACCTTGCCGCTCGGGTGCTCATTTCTATCTTTCCGGTGCGGGGTCATGGTCGGACGATTGGGCGGGAGTCGATCGGGTCGCTTGAGATACTTGGCCAGCACGGATTCGAGTTGTCGCACCGTTTCGTCGTGTTCCTTGATCAGACGGGGTAGATCCTTCACGTTACGGCCAATGGCGGCTCGGGGGAGGGCAGCTGTCGGGTTGACTTCGTCCGTCAAACGCAGAACGCCTTCGTCCGAACGTGCTGACGGTGGGATATCGGTGATCTATTGTATAACGTGGTTAGTGAGTTTGTCAGTGAGAGCTGCTTCGCGGGACCGTCACACACCATCAGTGTACGCGCATGGAGACTGCGCTGATAATCGGCACTCTGAAAGTATTTTCTGCGCAAAGACAAAACGCCCTTGTAGTTCCGCCACAAGAAGAAGACCACGATGATATCGAACAGCCAGGCGCAAACAACCTGACCCCAGATAGCGTCGGTGCTGACATAGAGCGGGGTCATCGTCGCAAAGGCGCCATACTGGGAGACGGTGTTGCCTTGGCTCTGCGTGAGGTTCAAAGGAATCATGACACCGCAACCGATGATGCTCAGGAAGATGAAAATGTTCCGGCACATTTTGGCAAATCGGATAAACATGGTGGCATCGAGCCCGACACAGTCGACTAGATCGGGCTCTTTGGTGCGCACCACGGGCTTGAGCCAGGCAAAGAAGCTCTTTCCCACCGGTGGCGGGGTATGTTTTTTGTCCGCATGCTTGACTTTGGGCGCGTAGACGAGGGAGTGACGAGGTCTGAAGAGCGAGAATAGGAGGGCAAGGAGGACGCTGAAGGCGGCGGAGGTGGCCAACGAGGCCCAGACGGCGTTAATTTGAAACTGTTGTGCTCCTTAGTTATGCATCGAGGAAAAGAGGTTGTATAGGGCAAGCATAACATACGGCGGATTTGAAAGGATTCTGGATGAGTTTGAGAAATTGATCCGTGGAATCGTCGCGCCGCCAGAGAGCGCTAGACTGCATGGTGTTTATTGAAGCCGAGGCGGCATCGACGGAGCGAAGCCAAGGCAGAGGAGAGATAGATGGCGGAGTGAGCGGGCGCGCGACAAGGAAGGATAAAAAGAAGCGAACGACTGTTGCACGGCAATCGACAGGAGGAGTGAAAGTGAGTGAGGCGAAGAATGTGAAACCGAACCAGGAAAATCAGAGATGGGCGTGGGAAGACGAGCAAGAGGAGAGAAAGATAATCAGCGATGATGGAGAAGTGGATTCGCGTTTGGAGGCGGGTCTCGACCACCACCACTAGTCGCCCTCTAGTCTAGCAATTGACAATCTGCTCTGAACGACAACGCTGCTGAGGGATGGGTTTCTCTTGGATTCGAATTGCAATCCAGTGGAGGATTGAACCTTGACTTCCTGGGGGATGGGGAGGGAACAAACGAGCGTCAAGAATGGACCGGACTGGACTCTCCCTTGACGTACCTCCAGTACGTATCAATAATTCCACTTCTGACAGTCGGGGGTCGAGATGCGCACTGCATACGTTGACTGAGTGGAGCCGGATGAGTGTTTCTCACTGGTACTTGTAATGTGTTAGAACTTAGCGCACTACTGTTTAGAAGTGGTACATGTACACTTGCAGTCTAAAGAGTACTAGTAGTGCAGAGTACTTGTTTCTCCTGAGAATCAAAATTGAAAGGAGTCATGCACTATGTAAGTTATCTATCAGATTGTTTCTTGCTCCTCGTTCCTCCCGGACTGCACGCTTTGTTTACCCGCCCGACGTGGTTCAGCGTCTCAGACGGATCCAAGTGAGCCCTCAGGGCGACCCAAAAAAGCAGCCAAAGAAGAAAAATGAAAACCAAACAATGAGAGTAACTCCACTGGGGTTTCTATGGTTGGATGAGGATGCAAGAGATGGTCGGGCTATTATCCTGGTGGACCAACCAATGCGGGCCTAGGGTAGCATGTCTCAGACCCTCGGGTCCCCCGGTACGCAAAACTCGGTTCTGCTGACCAACGGGACGTTGATTACCATCGGCAAAGCCACGCTCAATCCTTCTTTCAGCCACTCCTTACCATACCCATACTAACCTATGTACCACAGTGTGGCTGATGTGCACCCCATTGTGGCACACCGCAATGAAATGTCGAGAAGAAAAAAGACTCGGGGTCCAATCGAAGTAGGGTCTTGCTGTCAATTGCCGGCAAATGGAGTCATCTGCTTCTATTCTTGGTCACGGCAGTCAAGCCACAGGACCCTTCTAACGGCCTGATCGGATGACTACTCTGCCTAGGTAATGTTTTCACTCGGACGAGGATCATGATGAAAACACTAAAGTTGAGTTTGGGCCAGCTCCTCTCCATCCCAACAGATCATGGCATTGACTTGTGCTATGATGTCGATAACACGCTTCTTACCATGTTCGTACTCGAGTAATATCTTGACGGCTGGAACCCCGCATCTGCTCCGGTCAACACGATATCTCAATCCGCAAGTATAAACTGAACTCCGATGCATCACCCGGTTTTCCTGCACACCGCGAGAACCTACCCCAGTGCCATTGCCCCATTTGTAGAGTCTGCGGGTATGGTCTCCATTTGGGTCATATCTGCGGGCGGACTGTGGGATATCATGGGAGGGAACATAGGTTGTCACGCAGTTGTTCGCATCCCGGTGACCTTCCCCGACTTGCAGAGAGGCACGTGTTGTTTGCATCTGCACCTCGACTAAGTTACTTACAGGCCATTACACTCTTCATGCCCTGAGCTTGGAACTTACTTGAACTGGAACTGGGTGAGAAGCAATCAACCTTCTCCACACGGGACAATTACTGCAATGTGAGCACGTCTGCTTTCTTTGGCAGGGAACGGCACGGCGGCGGCCATGCAGATCCAAGGGTTGAACATGCGTATCCGCTATCTACACGGCATGGAGGGAGTTACTCGTTTCTAAATTTAAACGTAGGCCTCTGTGCTAAGAACGGTTGGCTGCCGCTATGCTGGGCGCTAATGGCAGAAGACAACAGGCCGATCTCATCATCGGTTGAGGACTTGTGGAGTAAGTATCCATGGGTGATGACGGAGGTTGTCTTAGGCATGAATAGCGCTAAGAGCGCAAGTGAAACCGTCGGGCAAAATCATTCATCAGGGTAGAAAGCCGGATGAGTTTGATCATGAGATCAAAAAAATATTAGCTTTGCTCACACTCGGACTCGAACCGAGGATCTCAGCATTACTAGTGCTGCGCTTTACCATCTAAGCCATGCGAGCTGCTTGGTTGAGCTTGCTTTTAAACTTGCTTGAATGAGTGTGCGTCACAATTAGTCGGTACAGGTTTGACGAAGAGCAAAAAGTTAACACCTGCTCACACTCGGACTCGAACCGAGGATCTCAGCATTACTAGTGCTGCGCTTTACCATCTAAGCCATGCGAGCTGATTGGTTGAGCTTGCTCGTAAACTTTGTATCCATATTCTAAGCTGATTCTAGAAGACCGATCATTAACTGGAACAAATGACCTCATCGTGCATAGGAGCATCATCCATACTACATGAGTAGTCAGATGGAACGTATTATTGTTTTGACACCCAGGTACAGGCTGGTAGACGTTCCTCATATACTGGGAATGTACCAGTGCCTCAATGGTTCAACTCACCGCAACTCCATTGCTGTTTGACATTATCTATTCCCGGGCATTGTGCTGCTTGTCATACGAGACTCCGATTCTATCATCATAGTGGAGCCTATGATGAATATACACAGCGGGCACGGGTATGAGGTTAGTCTGCCATGGCCATTTGGTGCATGGAGGCTGGCCAAAGACGACCCGAGCGCAGCCTCCGTAGGAGCGGTGCTCTAGAAATCACGAGAAAGAGATGCGGCAGGCGAGACGAGTCAATACCAGGGCTCGTCCCTGAGAAACTGGGTGCAAACAAAGAACCCGGCTCACCATCAGTATATCCCACAGGTACACGATCCAGGCACAGCTACGGCGCCTTCCAGACCGAGTATGACCAGAATCACCAACAACACTGAAGAACACACGACACTATCGCCGGCGTTCCCTCTTTCCCAGCACAATGAGCTTCACAATCCACGCCAATTCTGGTGACTCACCTTCAGGATACTACAATGTCAAGCTCCGTGTACCCTGCATTCGAGTTTGGTGTTAAAAGGAGTCATGCGCCGGCGGCCATACATAGTATATCACTCGGGGAAACACGAGATTCACCCCATGTCTGAGCTAAGTTGAGGTATGACGACCAGCTTGCTAAGCCTCATCTTGTTATCCACTCCAGACGAGCCTGATACTACCCACCTGAAGATGTTATAGATGGGGAAGCTGTCATAGGAGGCGCTTCTGGAAACAAATGCGCTCTGATCAATAGTGCCGCTGAGAAGCGTCTACTTACCCATCCAGCTGAGTCGGGCGTGGAATTCAATAAGAATCCCATCGAGCTTGCTGGGACGGGACGAATTGAGCTGCATAGGGTTCACCACGATGCTTTGAGTCGTGGTAGAACAGGGTATATACTTCATCGGATTGTCTTTCCATGGCGGGGCCCACGCGAGCAAAACACTGTGGCGTACAAAGAGAAGATCCCGGTGTTCCGGATTCACCACAGTGTATATTTTCGTGCCCAATTGACCCATAGAATACATATACGTGTCAAGCATATACCAATCTTGATAGGCTGCTCCAGGATTCCGACGCCCCTCTCCGAGCCGATCACGCTACCACCCGACAGCAAGAAAGTAGACAGATCAATTAGCATCAACCAGACAGATATACACCGGGACAATCAAAGAGAGAGAGCACCCCGAGCACGGTTCAGTCCCAACCCGACTGGAAACAAAAAGACAACCAGCAAAAATGAATACACCTGCTCACACTCGGACTCGAACCGAGGATCTCAGCATTACTAGTGCTGCGCTTTACCATCTAAGCCATGCGAGCGAGACATGTCACATGCTCAGGTTTGGGAACTTATATGCCCTAGCCCATATGATCAATGTGCCTGGAAGAATTTGACTTCAATATTCAACCTTGTCAACGGTGCCGATCTATCCACGGTTCACTCTGGGGGAGAAAAAGTCGAATTCCCTTGACTGCTGTCCTCGTTAGCACTTCTACCACCATCAGTTCAACAAGGGCTGCTCGTACAACCACTTGAGAGTCAGGAACGCGGAGGGAGAAACGCAGACTGTAACTTGGCTCAATTCAGTCATGCAAACACGAGGATACCTGACATGGTTGAGTCAATATCTTATCATAGACAAAAGAGACAAATCGTAACAGATTTATACAAGCTCTGCAGTCAGCCGTCGGAAAGTGATTATTCAGCCTACTTCACAAGCCATGAAGCTCGACTACATACATCGTTAACTCCAACCCTGTGCACATCAACCAATCAACACCGCACCACAAATCCATATTACGCTCACTCAAACACCTCCCCTTCCCCGTCGAATGATGAATGAAGAAATTGTTTTGAATTTATGTACTTGGTATCTGGTTTCGTCAAATCCGAAAACACATCACATCAGAGAAACATTAATAAGCTTCTTTTCGTTTACAGCTGACCAGCAGTGTTGAAGTCCTCCAGAGCGACCTGGACACGCTTGCTCATGGTCTTCTCACCCTCACGGACCCAGACGCGGGGATCGAAGAACTTCTTGTTGGGCTTGTCCTCGCCATCGGGGTTACCGACGGTGCTCATGAGGTAGTCCTTCTTGTTCAGGACGTAGTCACGGATACCGGTGAGGTAGGCGTACTGCATATCGGTGTCGAGGTTGACCTTGACAACACCGTAGCTGATGGCCTGCTTGTACTCCTCCTTGGAAGAACCGGAGCCACCGTGGAAGACGAAGAAAACGGGCTTGTCCTTCTTGGAGCCAGTCTTCTCCTTGACGTAGGCCTGGTGCTTCTCGAGGAGCTCGGGGTGGAGACGGACGTTGCCGGGCTTGTAGACACCGTGAACATTGCCGAAACCAGCGGCAATGGAGAAGTAGGGGCTGATG